ATATATAATTATGCCTTAGTATTGTTAATCTGTTATTATGCTCGTCCCACGTGATCTGCCGCAAGTTTCACCAACAGCGGACACGAATTTTAAGCTATATGATAGCACAAACACGATGGTTAGACTATTGAATTTTAATAAAATACAAAAAGTCTTAAAATACGTAGATGCGGGCTTTAAATCTACAACAAAACAAACGTGACTAGTTTTTGTCGCCATATATGTAGCCATGACGGCTTTATTGTTCAGTCGCATTTACAGCATAGAAACTGGATATATCTTGTAAATTTTATCACATATTTAAATGAAAATATTATGTCTTGCACACAAACAGAGTTACGCAAATAAAATTAACGAAAACTCACCATTTTGGTGGGTTTTCCTTTACCAAAACAAAGCAAAACAGAAACGGAAGAAGCGGCATCCAAATTAGTTTATCCACGTTTGACGTCACAAAATAATTTATTCTTGCTGACGCCAGGATTATAAGTCTATTGACTGGGCCACAATATACTGTAATGCACATGCAATGCTACCGAAACCCCCACACAACTGAAACCCACCCATGGAGTGGCAAAAAATCCTCATATGTAACACCAAACTTTATCGCATTCTTTTATACGCTCAACATCTCAAGATTTCTGTTTTATCAGAATTTGATTGCTGGTGGTTACGGTATTCTATGTTCCTCCCCGCAACCCAACACCCCCCCCCCCTCCTCCCACCCCCAAACAGACCTGTATTAAGCGATTATAAAAATGTTTCAACAGACACCCAGGATCATGCATGCTTTTTAAATGTATCGAATTAATTAAAATAAATCCTGCCCTGATACTCATGTTAAATCAATTTGCTTCATGTTGCTGTTGGTTGTCTGATAACCAAAACAGCCACTTCATAATTATATCTTTCACTTTAGGTGATTTAAGAATAGAGAAAGCAGTGACGGAAATTTGGTATTCAGTACTACTCAGTCAGGAAACATATGAATGTCTTCGTACATCACTCGAAGAGCTCACCAGCTTCACCACTGCGCAAAACCTGCAGTCGAAAACAGCTGGTTTGATAAGCGTGGACGAAATGCAATTCAAACAACTTCAAGACGTGTGGAAAACATGGCTCGGTTTGCGGGTACAAGGAACAAAGTGGATTCAAAAGCAACGAGAAAAAACAATCAATTCAAATATGGAGAATGTCGCAAGAAACTCTGGATACATTAACAATGTACCAGCCGAACACGCAATCGCAGTAAAGAAATGGATAGACGACGGCGTTTTTAAACGAACGCAAGCGCCAATGATTGCCGAGAATCCGACATTGACTGGTGTTGATATGGCTGCAAGATACGCCCCGTATTCATATAGTGTTCTTCCAGAACTCTTTCCCTTCTCCGGCTGGGACTATCTGCAGGTGAAGAAATTCAAGAGTTCTAATTGCCTCGTCACGATGTATGGCGACTACATTGAATGCATTTTACGAAAGTTCATGAATATCTTGTCCAAGCAACAAGTCAGTTTCCAGATCGTACTGTGTGATTGCATGGACATCCAGCAACATCCTGAAGTCAACACAGTGTATGACCGCATCCTAACATCAAACCTGATAGACTATGTATTTCTACCAAACTTGCTGAAGCTGTGTTCCCAGATCTTAAACCATGACAACAACTATGCAACTATCATTACCGAAACCATGGTGTGGGCACGAGATATCATACCCGAAGGAGACATCTTATTTGCTTTCAACAGATTGCAAGTACCAAAGTTAGCAAAAATTGCTTTCGAAGATACAAAGCGGTCTTCATTTGCCAACGACGGTGGTACAAGTGTCATGGAATATCTAGATAACTCTTGTGAATTCTTCAGTTACATTCGGGCTATGTTTTCTGCCTATCGTTTGAAGAAAGCAAGGGAAAGTGGATCTACCAATCAAAAACCTACGATCCCTGTTATCAAAGAAGTGGGAAATGAATTTCAGTTGCATCTTCGTGATGGCATTCGAAACGAAAACAGGATCGTATTCTTCAGGCCGGCAATAAACAGGCGACGAGTGACCATTGTTACAGGCAACGAGCGCTATTTGGAGTGGGTACCACTGCAAAAAAAGTAAAATACTATTCCTGACCTGAATTTGATAGAATTGACTGTAAATGAGAGAAATCACGACACGAAACGAATTAAGGATAAAACAGATTGAGACAATAATCATTGAGACAATAATCATTGAGAGAATAATTAGGGTTAAAGTTCGTAATAATGAACAGACAATTTATCTTTAAAGTATACCATCACTTAAATAACAAACTATTATTTGAAATCTCGAGGGTTGATCTCCAAATTTTGCTTCAGTAATATGAACATTATCAGAAAAATTACGAAATGTGCGTAATTAGCACATTCAGTCTAGGTATAACCTCTTGTTATCAATTGCATGTTAATTATACTACCTAATTGAATACAAATGTAATTATAATTATATGGGTCGGACGTCAATGATCGTGAAATTTTATTTTCAACATAATTATTTGCACTGATGATGATCCTGATTGCACTGTGCCAAATTCATTATAGTAAAGTAAGAAACATACAACAAACATATATAATCATTGATGCTAATACATATTATAACCAACGTTAGCTTGTGTAAATTAGTCTAATGATGAATTTGCACTGTGCGTGGGTGGTCATCCTCACTGATCTCAAAAATATGGCGGACTGTCATGAATAACGAACACTGTGATTGGTCCAATTTAAAGTTTACATTATAACGACTGCATGACGACAGCGAAATAGCAAACATTTCTTGATTTAATGATTGATAAATTTCTTGCAAATATATTTCATTTTTGCTCGCATTTTTGCAAGATTTTGTAAATTTCAAGAAAGAATTAAAGAGCGAAAGAATCGGCTAAAAGAAGGGAGCCGACATTAAAGGTGATCTACAGTCCGTATGTAAACAAAGCCTTTGTTTACATTTTTGTGCCCAAAATATTGAGCTTTATTCGACAACTATTTATATTTTCAAGCTTCTAGAGTATAAATGATCAAGAAACAACAATCAGGCTTTTCAAGAACTCAAAACATAGTTAAACTGTTTGTATCATAAAAAATGGGCTCATTTGTGCACATGCGCAGATCGGACTGTAACTCACCTTTAACGAAGGTAAGTTTGTTTTAAATATTGATTTTATAATTGCTTTAAAACCCGACGGCCTTTGGGTATATGAAACAACTAGTCTAAACAAGACAGCATCTATAAACTTCAGTGTATTTTTAAAATTGATTCCCTTTTTTATCATATTGGATTTTTTAAATAAAAAGAAAGCAAAGTTATTTGCATGCGAGAATTTGAAATCATTTTATTGCAAACTCAAAGTTTATCGATAAAGCCATTTAATTAAAGGTAGATTAGTTTTATAAAGAACACTTTAAAACGTTTTGCGAAGCGTTTGTGGTTGAATTTTACCTTAAATTGAAGCTTATATTACGTATAATATCATACCTAACATATATGTTGGGAAATTGATAATTTTGTAATTAAATGTGATATTTTTAGGCGATCTTTCATTTGTAAGAATATGCTTTAAAAATTATCGTGCTACCATGACAACTACTTTAGAAACTTCATGTTCGGAAAATACAATGGTTTTGTCAGCAAGGCGAGGGTTTCTGTATGCATGTATTTTCTAGTTTATAGTAGAGTAGTTAAAAACATTGTTTGCAGCAGACATTGGCATCAATGATTAGACTTGGCATCACCAAAGTGCAAATGTTTTGCTATAATTTTTAATATTTTGATATTTGCCATCATACTCATGACATAGCAGGCATGCTTTCACAGTCACATACATAAATAGTTTAATTATAAAAGTTCATATCCGCAGACAAATTTCTAACAATCGTTTCTCCTTAGCTAGTTAAGTATAAATTTTTGCAACCAGCCTAATTTTTTTATTCAAGCATTATTTGCCAATACAGCAATAGTCCATCACATTTGCCGATAGACCACACATGACTTCTAGATTCTCTGTGCAGCCTGACCTATAACAATTATTGCAACACATGTAAATTGGATTGTTTGTAAGGGATAAATTTTGTGAGGGATTTAGGCATAGCCTAGTATGATACTCTGCAATTATTGACGGTTTACAACTAGCGTGCTTTTAATTAAGAGAGGGTACATCTTTTGAAAGTTTAGCTGGGGATACCTCATCCATCAGTTCAAAAATCAATTTCTTAAAAAGCGTTTAATTAGCATTTTCCTTCAATTTATCATACTTTTACGAGCTCTGAATTTTTATTTTTTACGATAAATTTAATTTTTATTATATTTTTTGTACAACGCGTCAAAAATAGCATTAAACAGGGTAATTTAGCAAACTTTAATACAGCTTCATTAAAAGGAAAGCAGTGCCAGTGCGCCAATGTACGTTTTACGCAATAAATTAAAGCAACAAAATTCATAAACATTAAACATGCAAAGCAAACTTGCCCTATATTCCACGAGTTTCCACAGTAAATCAATTCTTCTCATTTCTTCAAACAAAAATTGCTTCAAAGCTTATTGTGTGAAACGTGATTTTCCAAATATATGCTTTTGAAAATTGAAATCTTGTTTATCCCACTCCTGGCAAACACGCCCGCGATCATTGATGAACTTTAAACTTCGCTAATGCTTCCCTTTCCCCGGGTGTAAATAGCCGGGCGGAATTAGTACTCTCGCCCCGGGCTAACGCCCGGAACAACGCTCCGCGCCGTTATCTCGGGGTCCACAACAGCAATTAGAAACAATGGTCACGTATCTCAACACTTTGCGCAGATACATGTACGTCTAGCGTACCTATTTGTAAATTATGTTGCAAATATTTTTTTTCAAAATTTTGCTCATTTTGCCATAAATTAACAAATGTTTTTATACCTGTATGATACATGAAAGCGCTTATTACATTTCTATCCAATTTACAATGTATCCAATTTCTAGTTTACTATACGGGGTTTCAAGCTATCACTACTTTCCACGCATCTGACGAAATGCGTGTCTGTTATTCGCTTAAATAACTTTACATGAACTAACGACAAACACATATAATTAAGATATCATTCATTAATAAAATACGCTTTTAGACGTTGCATTATTTAGTAGTGGGCTAGTATTCCAAAGGTCGTAGGTTCGAATCCCACCGTGGCCGGGCATATTTTTCAAGCTCGCCCGGTGTGGATATGCACTCAGAGTAACATCGCAAACATATTATTCACCTGAGTACACAACACCAGCACAGAATTTAATTTGTTGAATGTAATGCTTCTGAATTTTACTCGACTGAATTTCAAAGTCAATTTCTGTCAACGTCGCATTTAAGGTAACTACAGCGAATAAAACCATTAAAAATGTCCATTTGTCTCGAATTGAAATATCATCAGCATTAAAATGCAACGAATCAACAGCTATTGCACAGACCCCTTAATTTAATTTGGGATTTTCTATATAAATCACCAACATTGATTTCCGTAATATTATTAGTAAGTTATCTCTTCAATTCCAAGAACTGCTTTTCCTGGAATTTCGAAAGGTGGGAGTTTCGTTGCTGACGTGGCGGTTGCAAGGGCCTCATTTCCGTTTGCAATGTGTATCATTTCGCACTAAAGTCCATAAGCGTTTCTATTCTCAGTATTAAAATGCCAAGATTTTCCGAGTGCTGGCGTTGTGGTAATACGGTTGGTGTTGGCATTATTTGTAACTTGTGCGAAGTTGCCAAATATTGCAGTGAAAAATGCCAAAGAAATGACATATTTCGACACGAGGCCGAATGCATTCCAGGGTCGATCCTCAAGACATGTACGACGTGTAGAAAAAGTGGTCGAGATCTGAAAGCTTGCACTGGATGCTATCGAGCTTTTTATTGTGATGGAAACTGCCAGAGAAGGAACTGGGAAAGGCACAAGATTGACTGTCGAGAAGATAAGGAGGCGCTAGAAGCGACTACCCAACTTATTTCCGCACAATGTTATATGGTCTGAGGAAACTGTGTCTAGTTGCAGGTATTATTATTGGGGCAATGTACCGGCATTTGATTGCCTGAATTTGGTCGAAAACGAAGGCGGAGCATGCGGATCGGCGTTAAATGTTTTGATTCTCGGTGTTGGTGATTTACGAAACGTGGCGTTGACGTGCACATCGTTGCCAGATTCATACAGCAGCAAGGTTTTATTTACCTTGAATGATAAAGAAAGTTGTGTGTTGGCCAGACTGGTGTTGCTGCTTTACATGTTGATAAAAGGTGAGTTCTATTTCAGCCTATGAAGAGGGCATTTAATATTTCGCGTATTAATTTGGGGTTAATTTTCTAGTGTATACCGCTAGCTATCATTTTAAATTCATTTGGCGTTTGAGGAAAATAAAAAATTGTAAATTAATTTACAACTATCTTTATAATATAGCATTTGTAAATTCTGAACGCTGATTGGCTAAGAGCCGTGTTGATATAACTCAATGTCAACACGGAAACTTCGCAAAATTTATTTCTTTATGTTTCTTTGTGCTATATTATAAAACAAATATAAAACATGTTTTCCGTATTGATATACAGTTATATCAACACTCATGGAAATTGGGAAAACTCGAAATTGTGTGAAAACACTCCGCTCTTCGGGCGTCGTGTTTCCACACTATTTCTCGTTTTCCCAATTTCTGCTCGTGTTGATATTTAACAATTATTCGCCGAAGGCGAGGTGATTATCGGGGATTATTATATGGACAATGGTGTTTTACTGGAAACTAAAACACTCGTAGAACTCATACGTCACCACATCCGGGGCCAGGTGCGCGTATTTTCCGTATTTCACCCCTGCTAGTGACATACGAAGTTCTAAAATTTCCCGCCATTTTCATTGTTGTTGTTTTGAAAATACAAATGGTCTTTGGTTCGTATTTAAAACGAAATTAACGTTGGAAATAAAACGAAAACATTTAAAAAACATCTTGAGATAAGTAAAATTTATTCTAGTTTCATGTTTGGACTATAATTTTAAAAAATATCACTTTTATACTGGTCTTTCGCGTGCTTATTTACATGTCGTTTTTGTGTGTATTTTTGTCATTCTGAGTAAGTCCATATAATAAACAGAACATTAAACGGTTGCGAGAAGATATGGATTTATGTTCTCGTGTCAAAAACAATATCTCACTCGTTTGCTGCGCTCACTCGTGAGATATTGTTTTTGCCACTGGAACATAAAATCCATATCTCTTCGCAACCGTCTAATATCCTCTATGTATTTGCCGAGACGAAGTCATAGAATAAAGATCCATATAGAAGGGCCACTTAAGCCGGAAGCTTTGAAGTTTCTGTCCTCGCGCATGCCGCATTACGCATGTTGGCCGCCATTTTCCTAGCCAGTCAATTATTATTATTTATTATTTAATCTTCTTTAGAAAACAACGGTAGCCCTTCAGCATAGATAAGAGCTGTTTTCCAAGGGGCCGTTGCACAATACATATTTACAAAAAAAATTTGGGTTAATAATTACAATTAGTATATAGTTACAAATTACACATTACACATTACATATTACACAGTACACCACATAATATGATAAGACTTAAGTATTATGCTGAGGTCTGTCCCGAAGCAAGGTTTTAAATGCGTTTAATGACAAGCAATTGCTTTTCAGTTCTACTGGTAATTCATTCCAAATTTTTACACCTGAATAGCTGATGCTTTTTTTTAAAAAAGTTTGTTTTGGGCTTTTCTAATTTATAATCGATATTATTATTTCGTAAATTATAATTGTCATTATTTTTAACGACAAACAAGCTAGATACATTTTCTAAGTATTCACCATTCGTAACTTTATGCATAAGTATCGCCTTATTATTACCCCATCTTTCCATCAATGGCTGCCAGCTTAATTCTTCTAATATATCCTTAGATCTGACATCATATGATTTACCAGTTATGACTCTTGCAGCCCTGTTTTGCAGTTTTTGGAGTTTTTCGAGCGAATATGCATTTCCTATATCCCAAACAAGGCTGCAATAGTCAAAGTGGGGCAAGATAATTGAATTGTATACATAAATAAGGGTTGATTGGGGTACAAAAGCTTTCATTCGTCGAATCATTCCTATATGCCTTTTGATCCTTTGGTGGCAACCGTATTTATATGTGAATCCATTTAAGTTGGTCATCGACAATAACACCTAAAGTTTTTGTTTCTGAAACTTTTTTATTTTATTATCTCCCAATTTAATTTCAGCTTCATCATCTATTTTGCCTAGTCTCTGTCTGGAGCCAACAATCATGTATTCAGTTTTACTCGTATTAAATGTTCATTTGTTAGCCAACAGCCACTGATGTATATTTTCAAAATCATTATTTAATTTATTGTACAACTAAGTTGATGTGCCACCACTCGCTGTCAGATTAGTGTCATCTGCGGTACCCGGATATTTTGCCGAAAGACACTTTGCCGAAAGACACTTTGCCGAAAGACACTTTGCCGAACGGACATCTTGCCGACGGTCATTTTGCCGAACGGACGTTTTGCCGAACGGACATTTTGCCGAACAGACATTTTGCCGAACGGACAGTTTGCCGAAAGGACAACTTGCCGAAAATAAAGATGTTATTTCGTCAAAATGTTTGGGACTGTCTCTCAATTCTCAACTGTCTAATTCTCAACCATTGTGTAAAATAACCATTATATGGTCATTAGCAGTGCATAATGGTCATTAGCAGTGTATAATGGTCGTTAGTAGTGCATAACCGTATTGACTATTGGCAGTTGTTTGTGCAGCGGATGACTCATTTGTTAGAACGTGTTTTGACGTCAGATCGTAAACAAACAAGCGTATATAAAGACAACGTAAGCGAATTTCATTTCGAGTATCATTGAATACATTCACAGTTCTCGGGGAAATCGCATTCATGAATGACGTTGAATGATGTTATTCTTTATATCGCGAATTTTCGGTAAACTTGTCAAAAACTTGAAAGAATATAAAACGAAACTATACTTCACTATCAAAGTTTCTGTCATCAAAATCAACAATTAATGACTTTAATCACAGAAACTTTGACCGTGTAAGCGAACATTTAAAGTTCAGAAGATATCTCTATTTTCGGCAAAATGTCCGTTCGTCAAATTGTCCGTTCGGCAAAATGTCCATTCGGCAAAATGACCGTTCGGTAAAACGTCCGTTCGGCAAAACGTCTGTCGGCAAAATGTCCGTTCGGCAAAATGTCTTTCGGCAAAATGTCTTTCGGCAAAGTGTCTTTCGGCAAAATGTCCGGCCACCATAATACCGAAGTTTCGGCCCTGCCTTTCACGCTCGTAATCGACTTTTCCTCTTATAGTGCGTATTTAATTAATGCAAAGCCACAGCAAGTTAATGATCGTAAAGCATCTTGTTATTTTGTAAATACAAATGGTTTTGGTAAAATCCAGAATTACTCAAATCTTTGTTTAACATAATGTCATGTGGAAGATATTGATTACAGGGCCGTAGCAACAGGGGGCTGGCGGGGGTGGGTAGGATTCAGCCCCCCCCCCCAATAAATTGCTATAATCATTCTTTTTTCAAAATCATGCAGACGTTTATCATTTAATCCGTGACAAACTGCAAAGAATGAAGATATTACCCATACTTTGCTGCAACTTATTCAAGATATAGTTAATTAAATATTAAACCATCACCCATTTAGTACTACTAAACTGTAAATTTCGACATACTAAAAAACTGTTTTCTGATTATCACAATTCTGTCAAATCTTTCCCAAAGACCAGAAAATGGCATTTCAGAGACTCTAAATTTAAAAATTTCGTCGGGCCTTTGGCCCTCACTTTTAGCCTCCTGCCCCCCCTCCCCTAATCGAAAAGAGCTTCCTACGGCCCTGATTGAACTGATCAAATTTAAACTGTTGACTCTCGAAATTATATATAGCTTACTTGATCTTTTAAAATTGTCGTCAAGTTTCTAATGAATTAAAATGCGCTATAGCCTATACTGGACTTTCTGACACAAATTTCATCTTTTTCTGCAAACTTGTTCCCTGTATACCAGTGCCCCTGCTTAGCACGAGTTAATCCTGCAGCACGCAGGATCTTGTTGAACAATAAATTGTCGTCCAAATTAGTTAGTCAGAAATATTATTTAAAAACATTGAATCTTTGCATAAGCAGTACACTAACAACGTATCCATTTCCAGGATAGCTCTATTTGCATTGCAAACCAACTATAGTTGCTGGAAATATGCTAGTGTAAATCTATGTATGTTCTTTTCTCTATCTGTATATTATCTAGTAGCCAACTTCGTTAGGGCATTCAAAAATTGTTATAGTTTTTTGTGTTAGGTTTAAAATTGTTTAATTGAAGTCATGAATTAACTAGCTTTGCACCAATTAACTTGCTTCTTATTAACCAAACGCGAGGCGTGTACAGAGAAATATCGGACCGAGGCTTTTTTACAGACGAGCCCGTAGGGCGAGGTTTGTACAAACAGACCGAGGTCCGATATTTCTCTGTATACATCAAGATGATCTTGATACGCGGAAAAGTACTGGCACTAGTTGTCAAATAGAAATCCATTTTGTGATTAAAACAACTGAATATCTCTTGTAATATACTTTATTTCGATTCCATATTTTTGTCAGAGCTATAGTTCTAATAACCAAACATAATTACAAAATTTCAACTAGTTTCATAAAGAATAACGAAAGATATAATTGACTGAATACATCAAAATGGATTTCTATTCGGACAACCCTTTCTGAGCGCTGATTGGCTAAAATACGAACACAAGATCACCTGGTATATACTGCGGCGCGAGCAAGGGAGGTTAATAAAATGATTATTATATGGCATTTAGAGGCATTTATACTTGAAACAAACAAGAAATGCATGATTTGAAATGCATATTAGTAGCGTGGTACACATTTGGTCGAAGAAACAAAAAATACCAATGTATTCCTTTTTTTCCACTAGAAACAATTCCCAGATATCTTTTAAATAACAAATTAAATTATAATTTTTAAATTTTCAATTAGGTTTGCTGTTTTGTTTTAAAATGCATACGTTTGTTTCTACGTAATGGACCGCCTGTCCATTACGGGAAAATAATGGACAGTTGAAAATGCTTTTCAGCCAATCACAGTCCGCTATTTCACCGGAAGTGATGCTTGCCATATAATAATAATGATTAACACTACAAGTGATATTTGAAAAATGTAATATGCACGACAAAATCGCTTTCTTTGATTCAACTGCATTTTGTCAAGAGTTTTTAATTCTTTTGTTGGCAATTAGGCATAAAAAAACTTAGGGGAAATGATCATAAAGTCATAAAAGCACATAATTTAAACTAGAACGTATGATTCAAACTCAAACAACATATTTTAGAGTAAGGAAATCTTTATAACTTGTATTGCACACTTACATATAGTCACGTTTCGCTGCATTCCGCCGAGATTATTTCTTAAAACTGTTTCCATGTATTTTCCACTAGCTCTTTTGCCATACTATGTTTTTTAAACTCGTTCTTGTGCCAAAATTTAGTTAAAATCGTCCACGTTTGTTATCTATACAAGATAAATTTCGCCACCATATTAAAGTTTTCTTGTTTTGATTTCCCGCTCCTCCAACCATCACGAAAATCATATATTAATTGCACTCCTGGAGAGTGCAGTCAATGGAATAATTGCACTCCTCTTAACCAATCAGATTGCAGTAATTTTGTCATGTGTATAATAAATTTAGTAAAAAAATGTGTCATTTTGTGTTTAACATTTTGGACTTTTTAAGCTTTGCATGTTTCCTTCCTTTAATTAGCCAATGTGTGCTTGGAAACGACCCTTTACGATTCTACTGTTTTACGACATGTTTTTTTAACTTTTTTAAAACTCATGATCACAGGTTTTATTTTTCAAGTCGCTTTTTGGAGTTCGCAACACTGATTAGTTGTCAACAAGGCCGAGTCGAAGTGTCGTCAAATGAAGCCATTTAAACGATCATTTCCTTAAAAAGTTATTATTTTTTATTATATAAAATTGTTAATTGGGTTTTTTTAGTGACATAATCGTTTGTCGTCATCGATCCGTGTCGTTGAACAATGGAAAAATCTGTCGTGAAAGTAGTGAAGATAAAATAGCAGTTTGTGCGAAAACTGCAAATCTACGGAGCGGGAACTTTTCGGATTTGAACTCAGCGTGTTCGAAAGTGTTAGTTCCGGTAAAATATTTCAATTCTAAGAAATTTAGTTCTAAGACATGGGAAATGAAAATCGTTTTCTAGGCACTTTTCGAAGTCACAGCAAACGGCCTATAAGCCACTCTGAGTTCTTACAAAATGCAGCTTGTTTTTTGCAATTACACATGCACTGTCACCGACTTTAACTGATCTGTACAAGTCCTAATTCTCAAATAAAACCCCCATTATAGTGTTAGTTTTTTGTTGAGTGGGCTTGGCTTAAACTTCATATGGAAGAGTGTGGCAAACATACTTGCAGGAAAATATAAAATGGGTTTATTATGCTTTATATGTTGCCACAGTCAGGGGCGCACTTTAGGGTGGTGTGACACCATCTCAACATTTATGAATTTGATCCTAAATGTCGGTCCCTAAATGTTGTACTGTCTGTCCGGATTTTGATCCAAAGCAGATGATCATTATGTGCATCCAATATATATGTCGAAAAGAGATATACAATTGGGCGCAAATTTTTAATTAACGGGCTTGGCTTTTGCCAGATTTTTAATGAAAACAAAGGAGAAGTTTCTATTTTTAATGTATACTTCCCTTATACTTGCATATAATCATCAAAAATCATGTGTTTCATGCAATATATAATGTACTCTACAATCGTCAGAATTCGGTATAATCGTCCCCTAGAAATTGCATTTCAGGGGCACTAGATTCCTATCTTTTCCTGGGGAGCATGCCCCGTTGGACCACACTAGAGCTGTATTCAGTCTTCGGCACCACCACTGATTGGAAGAGTAGTGAGTTTCTATGTTTTATTTTCTATATATATTCGATATTATTTACTCAAGAGTACTGTGCCTATCAGATAATGCAGAAATTTTAGTCCAAGGTTTTAAAACTTCCATTTTTTGTTTTGTATTGGGGAACTACCCTAACCCAGCAATAGATATTTTGCAATTACGTTGTAACTTAGCATCTTGGTTGATTTCCAAACAAATTGGAATATAAAAATATATATTCTTTTTCGGGTATTGTAGGGTGACGCAAATGCCACTTAATGCTTTACATCTCTTTAATCCATTCACAAACATTAGAGGGGAGTCTGTCTTGTAACAGAGGACCCCCCCCAAAAAACAAACAAACAAAAAAACAAACAAATGTGCTCCTGACCACAGTATAGTTTTACAGAATATTCACTTGGTTTAAATTAATAGTGAGTTGCATGAATAGAACTCACCTGTTTTTGTTGTTAATGCTAGTTTTTTTTAATTTCAAGAGATTGTCCGCAAAGCGTGTTCGCACGTCGCCTCCTTGTAAACACTTTTTTGCCATTATTGCACAGAACTTCACGAAATTTCATCTATGTGTAGATTAAAGTTCCTTAGTTGTTTCCCTGCAGATAAAAGTTATCAATGGATGTGAAACGGTTTTAAAATCCGTCATTCTATCGTTGAAACAAAATATTTTACTCTTACAGCCGCCATTTCGTTCGAAAGCGACCAACAGCCTCCTACCGTCATGCTTAGCAGGCATCGGTATAAGGGGAGATGTCTATTAAGGATAGTAATAGTTGGAGGAAATTTTACGGTGCGCGTGTATTAACGGCTTATTGACCTAGCGTGAGGTCTGTACTGTGAAATATCAGACCGAGGTTTTTAGTATATGGACTGAGCGACGAAGGAGCGAGGTCCATGTAAAAAAACAGAGGTCTGCTAATTCACAGTACAGACCGAACAAGCGAGGTCAATAATCGGCTTATTATATGGCTGAACTGAATCTGTGAGCATAAATGCTTTTCGCGCGAATTAAATCGGCTATCGTCAGTTTCACTGGGTAACAATAGACGGTAGGCATGCATGCTCAATCAAAAACAATTTTGTTGTTTGAAATTTTGATCTGTAAAGCACAATTGGAAATTTAAAAAGCACAATTTTTTTCTGTTTGCAAAGCAAAAATTTCTCCCCAGATAAACGACATCCGGAACACCGGTCCAGATACGGAAAATACGGACCACGGTCCGGATATGGGTTTTTACGGACCGATTGTCAACCAATCAGAATAGAGAATTTTTGAAAAGCCATATAATAAATATATGTTATTTACCGGATTGGAGGTCCGTATAGAGAAATATTTCTCGAAGTCTTAAACGGCCCGAGGCCGAAGGCCGAGAGAAATATTTCTCTATACGGATCGACCATACCGGTAAATAATATTTTTATTTTTTTTTAATTTCTCCTCTGGACTTTCCCATCACTCATCCCGCACGCGAATGAAGCTGCCAAATAAAACGTCGTTTCTATCAATGCTATCGGGAAGAGAAATATCTTTTGTGAGATAGTAAAATTCGTTTTCACTGCGTTTTTCATCGTCTGCAGACATTTTAATGTTTTAAAAAGTAGCTTTTAAACTCGTCTTTAAATTTTGAAAAATAAAAACATTGGCTCTACGGCTTTAAATCTCGCGCGGTCCGTACGGGGTCATACGGACCGCTCACGTAGCCAATCAGATTGCAGAAAAGCGTAAAATATGACTTCGGACCGCAAGAAAAAAAATAATACTTGTTATTTGTTTATTTTCGAAGATTCGTTTTTATTCCAGTGAAGAGTATCGCTCGTTCATCAGTGCTTTAAACAACACGAAGTAGCCCAAATTGTGCTTGATGGACAATTTTCCATTTACCTATTAAGAGTGACAAATTTGAGGTGCACCTTCCTTGTGATATACAGCTCCTAGTTTCGTCAACATTGCGTACTAATTGATGATGATATTATTGTGTTGTAGGACCGTCTCCGTTAGTTTGTGTGCGGACCGAAATGAGATGGAAAACATTGATGTTTTATTGGAATGGTCAGCAATGACTAACAAAGGTAAGCCGAGTGACAGTTTCTTCTACGTCTTTTTGTTTAGTATATAATATTTACGAATTGATGCTTTTGAAAATTACACTTTGCGTACAAGTAACGGTTTCATCTTACTTGTTGTTCTGCATTTAAGTTTGATTCTGTTATAATATGCGCTAAATTCTATTTATTAGAAGAATAGATAAATTTTATTACGTAGCCAGAGGAGGTTGGACAGCAGGCCGCAAAGCATCATTGGTATTGAGCGCCTATTTCCACGCGTGGCTTCATTGACTGTTGACTGTCGAGGAGTGAACATCTCGCTGACTAAACCAATATGGAAGCTTTCGAACGACAAGAGTGTCAGGCTGCGATACTTTGTGAAAAGAAACAGCATGTTATTGCTGTATTGTTGCGATCATCATTATGACTTGTGTTTCACTATATCAAGTTTACCTTTTTTAAATTACATGGGTCTTGCTGTCATTTTAGCTTCATAAATAATCCGTCTGAGAAAAGGAAGTATTGTGTTTATATTCCCAATAGCGAGGCTCTTCTTTCTAAGTTGGATGGCGTTAAATCTCGATGTAGGCTTGTATCATCAACGTGAAAACAAGCGCAGTATTTAAGGTTGGTATACTATAATGTATTACAGTTATCGTGTTATTTAGTCAAATTTCCGCTTTGTTGTTTTTATTCTTGTACTGTAATTTTATAAAATTAATACACTGTGCGAAATTATGGCGTAATATGTACTATGTCACTGTGATACCTATGTGCATGTTTTGAGTTAAACAAATCGTTTAATTAATAAATTTTTGCTGAATTGTGATGCCTGTTTGTATCTAGTTATGTATAGATTTTCACATATGTGTGCATACAGTAGTTATATTTTTCAATTTTCATTTGTAAAATATTGCCATATTCGTGTGTTGTTCTAATATTACTGTACATAGTGACACACTTTTGCATTAGATTGCTAATTTTAGGGATACAGTGTATGTATAAAATAATAAAATTTTCTTGTTATGATTTTGTAGAAAGTGATCTACTTGGGTGCATGGTTGCCAGATCTTGAACCTGGTCAGGATGGATATGGTAATGGAGGTGATAGGGCAGAAAGTGGTGACCAGTTAAGTAATAAGGATGAAAGTGACAAGGACGAAATCACCCATGCTGCCATTCAAGTGCATTGGTGCTGCTCATGAGAAAAACTACCAACATCATTTGGAACAGACATACCTTGCTCTTCATGGGCAAGATAAACCAGTGGCAGTGAATGTAAGAATGCAGCCAGAGCCATTGAATTCAATGGACCCAAGTGCAATTCTACATCAATTGCAATTGATGTAGACTATGGAACTGGATGGACACATGTGATGTTGGTTATATTGCTTCTGAACTATGCAAGTATTTGCACCCACTAATTGCCGCAGGCGATATCTTAGAGGTCATTAGTTCAGTATATCAAGTATAAGGTGACCTTTTTAAATAGGAATTTATCCAAAAATGTTCTTGAGTGGGAGACTCAAGTGGTACGGAACAGCATGAGTCTACGTTGGCAGATGATTCTGATATAATAGTAACTGATTAGGTTTAGCAGTTATAGAATTATGTTATTTGGCAAACTTTTTAGATTTTTTCAGCGTAAGTTAATCATAAGGGGGTGCAATTAAAATATGCACACTCATGCAATTATTAAGTACATAATTGTAACAAGTGCCTGTACTAAATGAATAAATAAATAAAGAGTTTATACATTAACTTGATCAACTTTGTGAGTAATGTTTCATTAAAATTAATGCAACAATAAAATAAAAATATGTCTATATATACACATATTGATCAAAGGTCCCACAATAACATGCTGCTGATACTTTGTGGTACATTACATGAGAATACAAAAAAACCTGTATATAATTGTACCTATATAATATGTTAAGTCACAGAAGGGGATGGTGTTGGGCATATGTGGGGTATTTGCAGTGGCGAAGCCAGCCCGACAATTTTGTCATGCTATGCAAATATTTCCGTGTTCATCGACCGTGGAAACAATCAATTTCTAAAGAAATGAATAATCGGATGACTTAAAATTTGCATAGCATGACCAAATTGTCGGGCTGGCTTCGCCACTGGGTATTTGATCACCAATTGCATCCCCACCATAGGGATTTTGATTAGCATTTTGTGCCTAAGTAGGGCAATTTCAACCAAAATGATTTTTATTAATATAGTATTTATTGCAAAATGGTGGTGTATTTGACCAATATTTATTGCCCTACAGTGGAGCATTTGATTGAAAATTTGCTCAAAAAATCAAATGCCCCACATATGCCCCCCCCCCCTCTCTCTCTCTGGGGCTTAACATTGAAAGAACCACCATTTCTCAAACGTTATCTGAATTAGTTGTGTAACAGCATTATAAAATACTGTTAAAAAAGGCCAAGTGGGCCTTCACTGCTATAAAGGAAACAAGGGCATTCTATCCAATGGCATTCTAGGACCAACATCTCCATGACATTGTTCTCCAAAGCATCGAGCAGCTTGATAAATCAGATTGTCTTTTTGACCAGCATGAAGTACAGACATAGCCTTGACAACAAGTGGAAGAAAATTTTGAGGGAAAAATTTAGCATCTAAACCAGGATTAACTTTTACCAGCTATTTTTGAAACATGTGGATAAGTGGTTGTTCTCGTTGTCGTCATCAATAACATTACCAGGGAGGTGAACAAGGAAATCTTAGCATCGGGGATCTTGCAGATGTAGAAGGCCCGTACAGATTGGAAGGACCGATATTACCTCCAAATTTAATGATGATGCTTAATTCTTGCAGACAAAATCATTGACAAAAATAGAATCTAGCCAAAATCACGAATCTCAAATCTATTAAAAACATCAGCCAAACAATAAATTTCACTTATAAAATATATTGTTACAGAAGTGCTTTAATTATCTACATACTTTAACTGCAATATATAATCCATAATATATCGAAACTTCTATAGTATATCACATTTCTTTAGAAAAAAGCAAGTAATAGCAGTTCATTATCGATCTGAGTGACAAGACAGCATATTTTACAAAGGGCTATATTCAACGGTGAATATCTCGAAAACGGTTGAGAAAACAAAAATATATAGTACAAAAATATAAAGAAAGAACAAAAATATAAAATATGACGGACCTTTTTACTACGCATTTCACTGATATGTGCATTCCGCATTTTTTCTCGCTTCCGAACGGCGTTCGACGGTTGACGTTCGACGCAGACCTGGTTACAAAATTTGGCACGTTTTCAAGTTTTCATCAATATTTCTGTCATTCAAGACAAGACATTGAATATTTATATTAACTTTGGAAAATTCAAAGTGTTTTTCTCTTTGCCCTTACCCTTTTTTATCACTTTACATTGCAGTTCGATTACATATATTAGCTAGAATTTGCTATTACATATACGCAGTAAAGTTGAGCAGTGCAAAACCGATAAAACACCTTAAATAGCATTTAACTATACATGTAGGCCTATATAATTATTTACAATATACAGGGCGAATGGCCAAATTACAATATTCTAATATACATTTGTTCTCCCATGGATGATAGAAACACTAGATGGGAAACTCATGATCAAGGTTGATAATGTTTTTAGTGTGCTGATTGCGTCAATACCTTATTAGTGCATTAATTAAATTAATGGAATTTCAATTTTAGGTGACCATGCCCTGATGGCCGAAAGTCCTACGTTTTACCGTGCATTTGGTCCATGCATGGATAGCCTAAAGGAAATGTATGAGAAAGGTCAGTTAAAACAGACACTAAAAAGTGCTCCCTGTTTATAGAACCAATGTCGTTCTAACACCTTAAGTCATGCAAGGTTATACGATAGTAATATGACATGAGTACCAGATTCTTGTCCATGCGATAGGATTATAGTGGTATACAATTCTTAATTTGGCGTATGTAATAGAGTAAACACGCCTAAAGAAATTTTGCCATAAACGAAATGAAGAGGAATTGTGGAGTTAGCAGTACTGTATGTTTCTTGCACCAGAATGACAATTGTATACGACTAATCGTATCGTATAGTCAGGCCTTTATTTGTTACTGTAAAGTCTGTGTCACGTGCAATACCACTGTTCTAACTACAGTAGAACCCGGCTATGTCGATCTTGCTTATCTTGAACTCTCCTGTCTCAAAATTGAACCCATTCCCTATGAATTTTCCAACATTATTTCAACCTCTTTTAGTTGTTTCTCAAACTCGGTTAACTCGAATTACTCGTTGTCTCAAACTAATGTTGCTAACCTTGACCTGGTTATATCTCCAACTCTATAAAGACTTGCATATACTCAGTTCGTTGATTTTGTTAGTGAATACATATACGTATTTGATTCTGCAGTGTAAACTTGCATGCAAGATGTTAGGCTTATTCAAAGAAGATGAAAAATTCGAGAAGGGTGGAAAATGTGGAGTTCTAAATCCATTTGTGCAATTGTAAAGCCTCAAATGTGCATTTAGCAAGCTAACGAAAATATATAACCGTAAAATGTGTTTGTCGTTTCTCTTGTGGATGCTCCACAATATGCCATTTACTTACTAATTTAGAAAAAATTAACAAAAAATGTAAGTAATAACGGTACTTTAACCCAAAAGAGAATGAGTAATATAATATCCGTGAAAAATTCTTTATTTGAGGCGTCCCCTCCCCTCCCAACGCCTGGGAAAAGAAATATTAATTAGCGGTTTGAAATGGCGAAAATGGTATAGTGCAAAGAGTTGTTCTCCCCACCCCTCTAACTGCGCCACTGTCTACACACTGTTAAACAAAACGTTCTGGCTTTCTTCTGTTTGGCGAATCCGTTTAGTACAAAAAATTGCTCGTATGTAACCGGGACGAAACGGGAAGCCATCTTTTTTTTGTCCGAAGGTGATCAATCAAAATGCTTTCGACCAATGGAAATGCATTTAAGCATTCTTAAAACAACGTTTTGGCACATGGACTTCAAATTTGAGAGGTGGACATCAATTTTCAATCTGTGAGCATCAATTTTCGAGCAGTGGACATCAAAATAGCGAAAACAGGAGGTGGAAAGCAATGCATGACAGCGGTTAGCCGACCAACGAGAACACGATACGCGCCATATTTATGGGGCAATCTGATTAATTATCATTTACTAATTCATTTTCTCAAGGTTGATTGACTAACTTTCCTACATATAACTGCATGGTGAAAGTAGTACGTCAGGTCTCAGCATGCGCGCTTTAAAATAATTTCTCAATTGTAAAATATCGGTTTACTCATGCCCATTTAAGATTTTTGAAAAGCAATTCAAATAAACAAAAAAGTAAACAAGTATCATTAATATTGACGTTGACACGAACAATAATTATTTTCATCCTTTGTTTTTATCAATATTGTTGTGAGTTTTACCATATTTATTGTGTATATAAAATTATAATCTACAACAATTAAATTTTCAGATTATTGTATAGGTTTGTTGAACTTCGTGACGGCCACAAAATTTCGAAAATGAATAAGTAAATGATAAAAGAAATAATGAACTCGGTTATCGCAAAATATAGCCTAGTGATTTGTAAATGGCTCGAAGATTAGTTATATGCCTCTGCCTTCGGCATCGGCAAATAATTGATCTGCTCGCCACTGACAAATCAAGATATTTTGCTCAACCTCGTCCAATAATTGCATATTGTTTTTTTCTTGTAATTTAACACTGATACAGTTATCTCGAACCCCTGCTGTCTCGAACTTTTTTATTTTTCTTGGCTGTTGGAAATAGCGGGATTCTATATTGTATATGGAGTATAGCTTCGCTATTGGCTTTGATATTTTTTGTATCATTAAAAACTCAATCCAATATATGTTTTGATATTTCTTGTGCCATGTTTGGCTTCATCACCTTGCATCATTCCCGTTACATGTATCCTCAATAGGTAATATGCCACTTGTGGATGAGTTGGTCTTTGCAAAAAAGTCGGATCCACCGATATATACGCATGACATGGAACAGAAATGTGACTGGAGCATTATATTTAAAAAAACGACCATGTGTGATTTCCCATTTCCGAATGATCGGCAACTCAGCCCCATCGAACAGTTTAAGTACCTGCAGCAAGAAACGAGTGGAACGTCACAGAGCATACTGGATGAGACACAGATGCTGGGAATTGAGAACTTTTTGGAAAACAGAGTATCACTAATACAGGTAATTGCCGATGTTCCTTTTTATTTGATGTGTGGGAAAGAAACGGCACGGAAAAATATCCAGCTATATGTGTACAACAAGGGTTTTGTGTATGGACATTGCGATTGTGAATTTTATACATTTATTAGACCTATCCAGGAGCAGTTGCGAAAAATACAACTATATGCTCTCTAGCAGGAATCCAACCCGCGGCCTTGCAATCTTGCAGGTGCAGCGTGTTAACGACCAACTGGGCTACAGAGGCCAGTTGCCTATAGTTACTGGTTGGGTTTATGATAGGTTTGAAGTGATGTTGTAATTCGCCAAAACTGAGAAAAAGGTAGTTAATTAGAACTTTATTTCTAGTGTGAAATTTTTATATATAATTTTTACAAAATTATATATGAGAGACTTGTGGTAAAATTAAACTCCAATTCACTAATGTCTATTACACTGTGGGATAGTCAGATAGCTAAAAAATTCTGATTCTTATTTCATGGCGGTAAATAATCTCTGCAATAGACTTTATGCATAATGACGTCACAAGGCTTGATGCCCACCAGGATTGCTGGTCTTAGTAGCTATCGGTCTGGAAAATTCCGATAGTGGCCATTTTGAATTGTTTAATTTTCCCGGGCGATGTCATTATGACGTCATTATTCATAAGGTCTGTTGAATTTGTTATTTTAGGGACCCCCAGGCACTGGCAAGTCGTTCTTGGGTACAAAAATTTTACGTTTGATGCTTTCAATGGAAATTCCTAAGCGGTTTGGAGGTCCCATTTTGGTAGGTATATAATAAAATGATGCGCTGTGATTATTTGGAACGTTTCTATTTTTAACTAATATAAGTTTAGTCCGTTTTTCTCGATTGTGATTGGTTGAATTATTTTACTAGGGTGTGTTCCATTAATTTTTAATCCGACACGTTCGGGAACAGGGTTTGGAATAACAACCGGCTAGCATTTCCACAGCGCTAACATGCAGGTGACTTTTAAATGAGAAAGTCTGAGTTTTTCTCCCTAATATATTGGTCTATACGATGATTTTGTGGGTTTTCAGTAAAACATATTCTGTCTTGATATAAAAGAACGCATTTTGAAACATTTTTGATGAATCAATGCTATGATGAAAAATTGAAAATCGCGTTGGCCTAGATTTATGCATATCAAAGAGTCATGGGCAAAACGTTAGTTCCTAAAAAACATTTTGAAATTTATTTTTGTTCATATACATGCATGATACGCTGGGCATTGATTTTCATCAATCTGTTTCCGTGGTATATTAATTAAAAGGCCTGCAGTCTCCGTACATGCATGCTGGTGGATGGGTATTTTCTGCGTATTCATGGTCGGAGGTCTTCCATTTTCTAGTAAACTGTAGAGAGCCAGCTTAATATAACTTGTACATTTTTTAGGTTATGACATACAAAAATTTTGCTCTGGATCACTTTCTGGAAGCGTGCTTGGAACATACTCCAAATATTGTTCGTATCGGAAGGACAGGAAGCGAAAAACTGTCCGAACACCTTCTTGGGAAGGTAAGTTGCATTTACCTTTAACTGCATGCGGTTCCAACATGGGCCATACTGATTCTCAGATAGCATTGACTCACAACTCATAATGACAGAATATATATTAAAGTGCCAAACGAAAGGGGTAGAGAAAACTCTGAAATTCCATTTCCAACGACCTAGAGACTCGAAATTTTCAACATTTTCCAACTGGGCGCCAAATATGGTGGAGCTTCGAATCATGGAATTGCCACAAAAGGGCGCTTTCTATTAACACGGTCAGACCGGTCAGAACTGTCAAATTGTTGAATGAAAAACAAAACGTTTGGGCTTCGGACCTATCTGACCGGAAAATTTTGATAAAATTAGAATGAGGTCCATTTTCGGCAGATATTTGAGAAACATAGACCAGATCTTTCGATTGATACAGAGACAAAAATTCGGGTCTGACCGGTCTGGCCATTAAATGGAAAGCTCTCCAAGTTTACCAAGTTTCCTGAGCCTCTGCCCATATCACTTTACACGTGCACAAAGACACGGTTTATTATAGCAATATGAAATATCGTCAATAATAAAGGAGGAGGTTTTAATATTAAAATAATTCGAGGATTCTTGGTTAGCTCTTGGTGTTGTAGATTACGCTGATCTAAAACATAGACAAATATGTGCCACTTCACTAAAAACGTAAATGGCAGTTCAAATGCAGTATTGCCAAAAAATTCTTGCAGAGGTTGAACGTTTAAGAAAAAGTCCTGCAGAGACAAATCGGCTGAATAAAATTCATGCCCAAGAATTTTTGGCCCCTCCCTCCTCCCATGCATATATAAAAATCGTGTCGTATTTTCAACACAGATTTGAGACACACAGATATGTAAAGTGAAATTGAGCAAGAAGGGGGACGGCTCGTGTTTTTCCAACACCTCAAATTTGTGCATTTTTGATTTTTTTTCATATTGCCAAACTAGCGAGATTTTTAATAGGGCTATGTTACCACGAAGATAAAGATGTTTGCCTGTTTCGACTATACTCGTTGTGGATTTCGATTTACTGTATTAATGAAAACTACAGTGATACACCCGGTCCCAATGGGGCAATGGCAATGCATGTCAATATGTTTTACTGTAATATATGATATAAGGTATATCCTTATCTCATGATGCAAGCTGCAGCTGATAAAATTTATTACCCAACCGACACGTATAGAAAACATGAAATACCGCAGTACTGCCAGTAGTCACTACTAAACTGCGGTGGTCTACGAATCAAACATTCGGCGCCTCCAAGACAAGTAAAGAGTTTATATAAGTACGCTACATTCCTGTCACGCCCGTACGCTGGATCAAAACTTGCATAATTTAAAACCTCAAAATATGATATTTTGGTCTCAAAATACTATCAAAATGAAGAGAAATTTAAGACGAATTCATTGATATACGGCTGAATGGGAGAAAACTAACGATATGAAAGTTTCAAGGGCAAGGATCAAACGTACTGAATGTTTTTATTAGCGATTTGTCAACAATAGTCTATAGAACAATACTCAATAATCATATACAATTTGTCAATTTAATACTTCACTTGTAACGCCAATTCGAACGGTGTTGTTTCCGACGTGGAAGAACCATATAAACTCGGTTTTGAAAATATAATTAATGCCACTCCACTTATTGCAAAACTATACGACATTATACAAACAGAAATACGCTGAAATTAATTTATTATGCATTGGTTTATCCATTTCTTACTTATGGGAATCTAACATGGGGAAATATATACCCAACAAGGCTTCAATAGTTGCTGAATGCACAAAAAAAATATTAGACTGATCACCTTTAAATCTTATCTTGAACACACTGAACCGTTATTTTACAGTTGAAGATCTTAAATATTTTTAAGATCAATGATTATTTAAGTTGCTTATTCATGTACCGTATTAAATACTTCCAAAATTTACCTTACTTACTTTATCTTCCAAAATTACTTCACGCGGAATAGTGAAATACATCGTTATAATACTCGAAATGCAAACAAATTTAACGTTAACTATAGAAGAACCAATTATGCCAAACATACCGTTATTAACAAGGGAATTGAAATATGGAATTCCCTTGATGAAAAGATTAGCAATATTGGGTCTTATTTTACTTTTAAAATAAAATCAAAGATATTCTTTTTGGAATATATTTTATTGTCATCAAACAAGTCATAATGTTTGTATACGCATCAGAAAACACAAAGCCTTCATGTCTAATTTTTAGTTAAATTAAACTTTTCTTCTTTTTAATACTTAGTTACGTTATAATCATTACTTGTAAATATTCTGTTCGACTCTCAAAAATTATTCTTATGAACATTGTAAAACTAGGGACCTCTTCCCAAAAAGCCTGAAAGTGTTTCGTTAAGGTCCCTAGCCCTTCACGTTGTTATTATAGCACTGTAATTATGTAAACTTTTTATTGGGCAAAATAAATAATAATAATAATAATATAATCATTGATTATCATTTTAAACTTTGAACGTTAATTATCAAACTATTGGTATTTCTCACTTATGGTATTTTATTGTAAAATTAAAGAAATGAGAAGCTACATGCTGGTCGCTGGATATTTAATAGTTATAATTTGGTTTTCTTCAGACAACAACTTCAAGAGCACGTGGTCGAGCCATACAGTCAACATGCCAATCCGTCCTGTTTTTTGATTGTCTTTCTATTAAAAAAACTGATAGGAAATGATTTCTAGATATTCAGGTGACAACAATCTCTTGCAAGCTGTTCAGAATGTACTAAAACTGTCTGTATACCAGTGTAGGTAGTGCCAATGTGAAATTGCTGTGCTGAGTAGTGAGTGGTTATATTACTACCTGAAATAAACAAGCAGAAACTCGTCGAGTTTCTGTTCAGAATATATATAATTTATAGCAGCCTGCATTTATATACTGTACGAATTTATCAAGTTACTCAAGATTATCAAGTGTTGAAGCAAATCTATGGGCCTAACGTTTTAGAAATTACACTGTAATCAGAGTGTCTATATAGATTCGATAAGTATTAAAAACAATAAAACATGCAAACTGTGACAAATGTATATGAAATATTACACGCTAGTCCGTGTGATTGCTTTTTCCGAAATAGATTACGGCTGGTATACATATCAGAAAGCGGGACAGAACCTTCTAGAATTCCCGTTAAATTAAAAACCTATTTGATTTTGATGCCGCAAAAATAAAAAGTGCCGACTAGGGGCGTCACTAGAGGAGGAGGAGGAGGAGGGGGGGGGGTATACGAATTACATTGATTAAAATTTTAATAGTTAATTTTAAGAAACGTTGTGGAGAAACGTTGTGTCGTGTATCTATAATTTTCTAATCACATACAGTCATACAAGTGTGTGCCTAATTTAGTAAAAAATTACCACCATGTAAACCATTACCTTCTGCTGCAAGCCATGTGCTTATTTCGCGCGGATGAGTATCACCATTCTTGTTACAATGGGTCTTGCTGACTTACATGAATTGTCGTAGCCACTTTGCACTATCCTCGGGATCTCAGAGTTTATATACAGGGTGTATCACAAGGCAATTTTGAAATTGCTCTCAATACCACAATTCTGTTCATGAAATGAATTTTTGATATGTATGGATTGCTTGAGTTCTTAAATTATGGAAATATAAAAAAATTGAAAATAGTAAATTTTGCCTTCCAGGTGGTTGGTCAACTTTTGCTCCCCTAAAAGTGGCTTGCGCGCGGAAATGACAAACGGTATTCTTTATTTGAGTTCATGTATGAAAAGTTCGCCATTCGTTGCATTTATGATAAAATTTCGGCAGGATTTTACCGAGTACAAATCCCCCGAAAAGCCTATGAAAACGTTACATTTTTCTCCGTTGGTGCTGTTCTTGTTCATCATTATGAATTTATTTTTACTCCCATGAGAGTTCTATGGAATTTCCATGCAATTTGCGCTTTCGAGTTGTTTGTGTTGAAACGCATTTTCTCGTATAATACCCCATACACTTTGAAATGGCGATGCCACAATTTACCCCGCAGCAGGTGAGCTTTTATAGTATCAGAGTCCCTCCGTAGCAACAACATAAACTTGGTTCGCCAAAGTTTCACGAACGAATATCCAGATGTACGATGCCCTTCACGTGCGAATATTTATTACAATGTTAGGAAGTATCGTGGTAATGGGACGAGTTGTAACTTGAACAAGGGTAATTCGAGTAGTCCAAAAACAGCGAGAAGTGCTGAAAACATTGAAGCTGTACGCAAAGCTATTGAAGAAGCCAACGGAGAGCGTTTGAATGGTGAAAAGCCGCGGTTAAGTTGTCGCCGAAACAGACTTAGTTTGTCTTCGGCAACTTTCAACCGGATAACACGTTTAGATTTGAGATTTCATCCTTATCAAATGATTAAACGGCACCAACTTCATCAAGGTGATCATCTGCGTCGACTACAGTTTTGCAGGTGGCTACGTGATCGGAACGACCGTTTTCTTGACGATTTACTCATCGGCGACGAATCAGGGATTGCACTCAATGCTTCGGTCAACACCCGAAACATTCGAGAATACCAACCACGAGGCGAACAACCGGAAGACTTCCAATATCAGCGAAATGATGACCGACATAAGTTAACGGTTTGGGTTGGGTTAATGGGAAATGGCACTGTTATCGGTCCCTTTTTCTTCCAAAACAACATTGATGGGTTAGATTACTTGCAGTTGATTGATGGCCAAATTGTCCCTGTTTTACGGCAGTTGCCCCGTTATCGAAAACAGGCGTAATGTGCCATTTCGTCGAGTATGGTGGGCACAGGACGGTGCTCCTTGTCATAGGCGAAGAGAGGTAACTGCTAGATTGACCGAACTTTTTGGAGACCGGGTAATCACAATGAATCGTGCCGTGGAATGGCCTGCTAGATCACCGGATCTTACTCCGCTTGACTTTTTTCTTTGGGGTTATCTGCAGAGCAAGGTTTTCCTAACGCCACCAGAAAATCTTGCAGAACTTGAGCGACGAATCCGCGAAGAGATGAATGTACTCAGACAAGATCGAGCAATGATACGCCGTACTGTTTTTGACATGGTTAGACGTGCGCAAGTTTGCATAGAACGAAATGGAGGACACGTTCAAGACTAAGACAATTCGTTTCTTTTTTGCCGTAAAATTTACCTTTGTTTTATACTCCAGATGTTAAATAAATGTCATTATTCAAAAGTATTTAAAAACATGCGCGAGTTTTAAATTTTATTTACTTCAAGAATTAAGATACATAATTGACATGACTCATTTAAAATCAAAATGCAAATGCAAATTTGTGAATTCACAATTTTCGGAGGATTTGTACTCGGTAAAATCCTGCCGAAATTTTATCATAAATGCAACAAATAGCGAACTTTTCATACATGAACTCAAATAAAGAATACCGGTTCTCATTTCCGTGCGCAAGCCACTTTTAAGGGAGCAAAAGTTGACCACCCACCTGGATAGCCAAATTTACTATTTTCAAAATTATTTATATTTTCCATAAGGCCACATAAAATAAATTCCTTGATTCTCATCACTAGACTTTGAAAATGTCGAAGAGCCGAGAGGTTTATATTTTATATTTTATACTTATATAATTTGTCATCAATAAATAAAACAATAATTCCTAACATTTAATATTTCTATGATTTCCAAAGTGAAGTGCAGTCACAAACCAAAATGAACATATTTCTCCACAAACAATGACTGAACCCTTGAACTGAATGCGCAGTTCGTTAAAATGCAATGAAATTTCTTTCAAGGTTCTATTTGTTTGAAATTGGCAGTTTAAAATGGCACTAAAAACCCAATTTTAAATATAAAAAACTTAACTGTCTTGAAATATTTTGTCGGGCGGTTCATTTATATTGTATAACAAAATATAAGAAAATTTCACGCGGCTCTTAAAATACAGTCGGGCGGTGATGAGAATCAAGGAATTTATTTTATGTGGCCTAATTTAAGACCTCAAGCAATCCATACACATAAAAAATTACATTTCATGAACAGAATTGTGGAATTGAGAGCAATTTCAAAATTGTCTTACTTTTTTTTTATACACCCTGTATTTTTTAACGTTTAAATTAAATTAACATCACAGGTACGCCAAGGTAAAAGAATTGATAAAGAATTGCTGTCTATGTTCAATGAAGCCACTGGGAGAATGCGGAGTTCGCAATTGAAGTTAAAAACACTGTTCAAGTGTTTATCAAATCCAGTTTTCACCTTACAGGCATTTTTAGAGGTACATGAATTACGTTTCTACTGTGTCTTTGTTTTTCTAGCATGATGTATTTACTATACTGCATCTACTCTGTTTTTGCATTACAACTGAGCGCACTCGCGCCCGACTGAAGGTGCGATTTCAGTCTGCCGCACTGATCTGACTAGTACTGGATAGAGTGTCCTTTTGTATTAATCAATTTTGAAGTCAGAATATTTAACAATTATACCATGAGCTCGAATCGCATATCAGCTGATAGCCGACGAGTCGGCTATCAGCCATATACAACGAGGGCGAATGGTATAATTGTTTTACAATATATAGTCTAATAGCCATTACCTGAAGCAATAATGAATTATCCTCTGTTACAATGTCTTGACAATTTGTTCGGCAAAAAACCGCTTGGCCATGAAAATTTGAAATACGTTTGTTTTACAACTCTAAGAGGAAGTGAAAGAAATGGTTTTAGAACCGGTATATCTCACAGAGAAGCTCAGATATATTATACGGATGTTTGGTAGTATAGTAAGTGCTTGTTGACTGCAAATTCATTTGTCTTTCGTTGCAATTAAACTTTTCTGAACAATTTATATTCTCAATGAACATGTTTTTTTCGCTGTTGTTTCGGTATTAATTCTTTAAAAAACTTGTATTTACACTAATTTCTATGCAATAAATGTATTTTGCAACCTGTCAAATTTTTTTGAGAGTTTTTCCTTCTGCTATTATCTTTCTGAAAGCGAATATTTTCCTTTTTTCTGCTTCGCAAACTCTCATGTAGTTTTTGGACAGTCATCTTGTTTTTCGCTACTCGCCGTATATGAGCTGATATACGGTGAGTAATTCAACCAATTAGATTGCAGAACAGCTCATATACGGTGAATGACTATATTATAATTATATATATGTAGCGTGTGCGCCCAGCTTTACAAATGTATACACCCTATTAGGGTGTATATATAGTTTGAAACGACGTCCAGTCAGCTAAAAATTCCGCAAAACTTGTGATGTTATTAGTGAGCTTAAGCAAGCAATGTTTTTGTCAACACGGACGTTACCAGAAAATTGATATATCAAATTTTGGTGGCGTTTTGCATCATAGCACTCGTGTAAGGAAGCAAAAAACTTTAAGAATCTTATGTTTTGTCATATGTGTTGATGATTACCACAAACTGACACAAACACAGTGCTTAATCCAGCCACTCCTTGGAAATCTGACGTCTGCGTTGGTAAAAACGTCGCTTGCTTAAGCTCGCTATTATTGTAGTCTGGGGGATCTTCTGGTATCTCTATCACAAAATTATTCCGGAAAAATAAATTTTCTAGTGCAGCCAGCTTGTTAAACATCTCGTTTTATATTAACACATGCACCCATTTAAGTACAGTAGATTAAGACACATTTAATAAAACTGCTTTCTCTTTTGTACATTAGTACTATGAGCCCGCATTACTGTTCCATGATAAGTACTTCTTGTTACATCCTTCTTTTATAAGGACATAGAAAACTATACAAACTTTTTCTTAAATTTTTTTTTAAAATTACAACAATATACACCTAAATGTAGTTTTACTAGTTCTAATACTTAAGTCTATTATTTAATCCAGTTCGCATTTCAAAATACAAATGATACATAGTCTTTCAAATACGCAGGTCTATTTACTAACTGTCCTGAAAGTGTTCGTATTTCTACTTTTTGTTCTCTTTGACAATCTACCGCTCGTTTTGACTGCCTTTCTGCAGTCTGGTTCGATTCTCTATCTTCGTCTGTGTGAATTTCTGTTTGAGGTGTCTCATCAACTTCATCTTCGGTACATGTCGTTTTTCTGAGGTGACTTCGATTTCGTCTTAGAACTCGTCCATCTTGTGTTTCAACTTCATATGATCTAATACCAACTTCTGCTTTCACAGTCACTTTGACTGACGGACTTTTTTTAAGAACTTGTCCGTGGTCTTGAATTCTTACTTTGTCTTCTTTCTTTAAACGAGGTAGATCTTTTGCTCCTCTGTTATGATACTTCGCTTGACGTTCTTGGCCTTTCACAATTTCTTGATGGTGATTCTGTACAACTCTTGGTGCCAACAACTTTGCTGTCGTTGGGAGCAATGTTCTTGTTCTTCGCGACATTAGTCTTTGTGCTGGGGAACTTTCACTTCCTTGTGTCGGTGTATTTCGATAATCCAGCACTGCTAAATACACATCTGCATTATCCACGTTTCACTGCTTGGACTGCGTTTTCTACACGACCATTGCTCTGAGGATGTCTGGGAGAAGATGTAACTCTCTGAAACTTCCAACTCTCGCTGATCTTATGATACTCCTCGGACACGAACTGCGGACCATTGTCGGACACACACAAATCTGGAACTCCGTACCTCGCGAATTTAGATTTCATCTTCCGAATCACCGTTTTCGCCTTGACATTCTCTAGAAGATCTATTTCCCAAAAACCTGAAAAATTGTTAACAGTTATCAGATAATTTCGTTCATTAAACGTAAAAAATATTAACTCCTACTTTTGCCCATGGTCTATTGGGCACTTTGTGAGATCTCAGTGTTTCTTTGGATTGCTTATTGTCAAACGATCTACATACATCGCACTGTGCAGTGTGATCTTTAATATCTCTGGTCAATCCTGGCCAATAGATAGATTCTCTTGCACGACCTAGACATCCGTCCGCCCCTATATGAGTCGAATGAATACGTTGAATCATCTGCTTTCTCAGATCATTTGGAACTAACATTCTTTCACCTCGAAAAATCAAACCCTCTTGAACTGTCAATTCGTCACGTACACCAAAATATTGTCTCGCTTGCCCTGGAACGTCACTTCTCTTATCTGGCCAACCCTTCAAAATGACTTTCTTCAGCTCTTGCATTCGTTCATCAGTTTCCATACTCGCTCTGATAACATCCAATCTTGCTGAGTCAACGAGTAAACTGTGCATCACATTGATCGACTCTACTTCAATTTCGACCGGGATTCCACCTTCATGAAGATACGCTCGACTCAATGTGTCAGAAAGCTCCATATTCTTCCCACTTCGTAACCTGAGTATCAGGCTCTCGGTATTGAAGAGAGCCTGACACAATTCGCCTCTACGGGCTTTCCACCCCCAGAATATCAGCCAATTAAAATTATTTCCGGTTGTAGCATATTTCCGGTTGTCCGCTGCAGGTATGTAAATACGCAAATTTCGTTATTTGCAGTTTTATATAAATTTGAATAAATACGGAGAAAAATCGGTATGTTTTTGTCGAAATATCCACATGATGGAATTCTAAGCGTAAACTATGCCTTATTCGGGGAACCATAGCTCGATGGCCTTTTCCAGGAGTCTAAAGAGACAACATTCGGCGCTCTGAATAGGATTTCTTCTTCCTCGGTCCTCGTGTCATGTTAATAGTTTGTTCGAGACAGCTATTCGCTTCAACTGCGTCTGACACAGCGGCTATTGTCTTCAATTTCTGCCTGATGTTGGCATATTAGTTCGAGCGAGCTGACTATTATATCCTTGCAGGTCTTGGAAAACAGCTGGGGAATAAACTGATAAACAAGGCTTCAGCTTTTTGGAACTAAATATTTGAAAATTTCCAACACCACATATTTTCGTTCTACGGCGACTATTACGGCGAGATATTTAGACACGCTTTCTACTATAACTATGTAGTTTTAGTTTTATACCGAGTTAACACCTTCGTTCACCATACTTACCCGTTTGGATGGTGAGGTGTTAGCCTGAAGGTCAAGTGTCTTAAATCGCTAAATATCTGTTTTCCTGGTTTTTCATTTTTTTTCGTCGTCGAGAAGTCGATTTTGCGTTGGCTAATACCACCAATGCGCGGCCAACCTCTTATTACATACTCGCCCGGCCCCTTTTTGGTCACATGATGTGCCGACGTAACGAGACTTGGTTCCCTAGCTGTTAACCTTTGTTATTGCATAACCTCATTAAAATGTTGCTGCAAAAGCGTTTTCAACGTCTTTTCGTACTTATTTTGTCATTTTTAGGCTTAATTAATTGAAAATAAATTTCAGAAATAAAGCACTTTTAACAGTATATTGACAAAATTACAAATTCTATTTTTGGTGTTTACATACGCCGGTCATATATTTCCGGTTTGAATCACATGATGCGTTTTATCGTCTCTTAGCTAATCAGCATAACATCCAGATTCTGGATGTTGAACATGGCTTTTGAGGCGTTTCGTGTCAGGCCCTCTTTCAATATCGAGGGCCTGATACTCAGGTTAGAAATATACAAGTTCGTGACATTTATGAATCTGGTCAGACTGAATAAATGTGGCATAACATTCAAAAACAAAGCTCTCTCAGCGTGTCAGGAAAAGAACATTACGACTATATTTACAAAAAGGGTATTACCAGCTGTGGTAGTCGCTTTCATATGAGATACGTTAGTCAGAAAGAAATTGTTTACTTTTAGCGCCTCTCAAGAAATATGTTAATTAGCTATAAATTATGCAAAAATCATTGATTATGGGCTCCAGAAAATCTTAACTCGCGCCAAATACAGATCAGTTGATACCCGCAGGTTTTTCTTCAGATCTTCTCAAAATAAGTATAAATCATTACAGCCAAGCACATTTCAGCGTAATTTTAGGTCCCCATTTGGAGATCTCAAGCTTCGATTTTAGTGTAATTTTGTCAACCGAACAAGAAGCAAAAACCGATGTGCCGTCAAGTTGCTGTCGTTTATTTACGATTTTTTCAAATGCTCTTATTTTTTGGAACAGGGAAACTGAATTGTATCTTAACTTGTTAATCTAGTTGAAATTTGGAAATAGTCAGGCGTTTTGATTCAGCGCGGCTCTACAATTTACCGAAATTCAACCTTCGATTTTGCTTGAAAATAGCTCTGCACGGGTAAAATGAGTTTCGGCGTCTAGCGAAGCCATAAAAAAGAATTTTCAAAAAATAAATTTATTTTGGACACTTGTATATCAATGCCTTTCAACACACAAAAAATAAAGGAAATCTATTTTCCAAAGTCAAAGTCATCGGACGGCTCTTAGCGGGACTGCCACTTAAGTGTCAAGGATATTATGATTCGACACTAAGACATAAAACCCAGAGATAGACGAGCTGAAGACTAGATGAGGACGACCTCTATATTAGTGAAAGAGATGATGTTGATGAGAGTTTAAAATACTGGTCGTATTCATTTGGGATAATGCGCTGTTTGACAACTATATAGTTACTCTTTTCGAAGTTGTTAAAGAGCTTCGGCTATTTGTCCGTGAATTAATTTGATTGGTTCATTTAAATAGCAAGCGGTTGTTTCACACAATAAATCCGGAACCTTACCCGCACCTAACCTCTTCCCCAACCTCTAACCCGAACTGATCAGGCCACCTGCTCGCAGTCCGCGAAACATCGTGGAATTCCTTCAAGGTTTCGATCCCCGGATTTGCTTGAAAATTAATTAAATTTATTGATGTCTTTCTAGCAAACTGACAGAACGAAGAAATGAACCAATCAAATTAATTCACGGACAAATCGCCAAAGCTCGTTGGTTTCTGTGACTGGAAAAATAACCACTTTCCTTAACATTGAAAAAAAAACAAAATCAAATTAAATAAAAAATGCATATACTAAATGTCGGACGTCTTCAGCAAATCAGCACTTGCATTTGGTAACCTGTTGATAGTTCAACCATGAAAGCTTTGGTACGCTATAAATTAAGCTATATATTGCATGAAATTCCAGTAAAAAAAGGTGGCCATATGTTGGCAACGTATAAGTTCGCCTTCCCTCCGCCCCCAATACTTCTCGAAGTGTCCACCACTGGCTGATCTATATGATACCCATCAGCCGTTTGTATTTTATCTATTACAATCCTGTTCTGCAAGATATGTATTTTAAGAAATATTGATCTTTTTTATTTTAGGTCTATCATGTAGAATAAAAAACGCATCCAACCTAACTCATATTCCTAAATTGACTGTAAAGGTACGACATATTTGTGTAGACAATTCCGTTAGGAAAATAAAAACATAACGAATAAGCAGCCTTAAGTTGTGCAAGATTGCCTTATTCTCTAGCGCCTTTTACCCAGGTTCGTCTTTTACGCACCTTAAGCTGGACACACATGGTACGAGTTTTGTCCGATGCATATTAAAACGAGAAATAATCAGCGATATGATCTGCTGGCTCACTTTCGCGCTCCTGTACATTGCTTTCGTTAAAAACCGTTACTCGGCCGACTAAAATCGAGCCTGGTTACGCGTGGTTGACTGCTATAATGTATGCTGATTGTATGATGGCCTACTTCTCCTGTTGGTCAATGTCTACATATTTTGTTGCATGATATTTTCAAGACATAGATACATTAACCTCAATATACACCCTTCCGGAAAGTATGTTAGGCTACTTTCGATATAGAGCCACGTTTTCGTGTATGTGACATATTAGAGACCTTACGATTTTAGGACGGCAACGCGACGGCAACGGCTATCAATACAATAGATCATTGAAAAGAATTGAGTAATTACAATAAATGAATAATTTAGACATTGTCCTCGCTCTGTTTACAACGCCAAATCACAGATTTTCACGTGTTGATACAACGGCTGCATTCCAAGCCACAATAAGTGCAACTTCAAACTGGGTTTAGCAGAACTCTTCCCAACCATAAAAACCATGTCTTCAACTTCTAAAACTGTATTAAATTCATACGATTGATAATATACGACGAACTATCGACTACCATTTATTTGAAGGAGTTTGTTTTGGCCGTCCCCGTCGCGGTTGCCGTCCTAAAATCGTAAGGTCTCTATTAGTTAAAGCCCACCATCTCAATCGTGAAAACGAGGCTGTATAGCCAGGGTGACGTACTTTAGTGTATATTACCTTGCTTGAACTAAGAACTATTGCATGTTTAAATTTGTGTGGTTCTAAAACGTACGTTTATCCATTTGAAATATGCATAGAAAGACCGACACTATTTTTGCGCTGATCTAAAACAACCAACCCTTAAACATTCCATATTTTAGGTTAGAGAGTTTTGTTTGGAAAGACTTCAAAATTCTTTAGTGTCGAACTATGAAAGAAATAACAGGTAAACCATGAGTAAACCTTATTATAAAGTGAATACGATCAACATTTATGAAACTATATAATTCTAGTCCAGAATCGTTTCTTGATTGACAAAGTTTGTTAAATATAAACGTATTGCTATATGGCTGCTTTTCTGGGTTCCTATATAAAGCCTGGTTGCAAGTGCGGGAAAAACAATTAATCTATTCAGTTATAAAACCTACATGTGCACATGGGTGTATACAGTTATTGATTCAAAAAAGGTTGTCCTACAAAAAGTCTCAAACCTTAAACATTGAGCGCGCAATGTATGATGTGGGTATTGCTTATTTCGAGCCTTAGATCGGGCATTAGCTTAGTGAACCAAACAGCCCTACGTCGTTCATTATGTGCCCTATATAGCATTGTTGCAAAGAAAATTTACCGAGCTTAGGACTTTGAAAAGGTAGTTACCCATCATCCCTTGCGCGCTCAATGTACAAGGTTTATGATTTTTGAAGGACAATCTTTTTTGAATTAGCTGTATATATAGCAATATTTAGGTATTATCTGATTATATTTTTCGTTATGATGTTTTATCCATGTTCAATATGCCATATATTTATTCTTGACTCATTCAACTGGATGAATATACAAGAAAGTGGAAGCAAAACATATTTGGATTTTAGAACTACCGTTTTACATTGATTTCAGAATTATGAAATTATGAATTACAATTATGAATTACTAATGAGATATAAGTATTCAAAACGCCCCATTCGGGACACATTGCTTTGTATAACTGTCGTTCAATAGGTTTCAGCTCAGTGCACGTGATGTCAATTAAACAAAAGAAAAACTTATAAGAATCTCATTATTTGATATCTGCCTTTGTGTGTGACACTCATAGGAAAGATTGAAACCCACATATCTTCCAAAGATCATTCTTGCTTAACTGATCATCTTTAGCGAACAAAGCAAAGAAGAATTTAACAATGTTTGTTCATCTAAATGCTTGCCTTTAGATAACCATTGTCGTTGCCTAGACAAAGCAATACTTAAATATTTAAATGAGTACTATAAAATATGACGTACGGTTCGCATTCGATACGTTGTTGTATGTACGTCCTGGTATGTCTCCTTCCTGCTGCGATGCATGGTTTTTGTCTTGTTCGCTTAATGTATATCATAAATTTTACGGTAACTATATAGTTGTAGGTGTATTAGCATATAGAAATGACCAAGTAATCAGTTAAACCTTAAACTGTGTAATGTTTTGGCTGGTGTTTGGATCCAGTGATATATTATACACAATATATCTACAACTTCATTCATATACGAATTATCGTTAACTTAAGATCCACAGTTGGTGTTGAACAGTTGGCTGTGAACTTGGAGTACGATGTTTTCCTCACGAACAGAAGTTCTCAAATGTATAAACTGAGCATACAACAAAAGGTACTGTAGACGTTATATAGGAAGGATCAACCAAGTGTAAAATATCAATGTTTTCAACTAAAACACTGCACTACTATAGTAATAGACAGTTTATAACAAACTGACATCTTTATATTCACTATATATTCGCTCTCTCACTCCTGTTCTTTTGACATTAAAGTCAAGCAATTCAGTAAATGTACCATACTCAAAATTCTGTATATAGTATGGTATATTGTCGGTGTGCAATTTTCCACGGTGGTACGAACTTCTCATTTGAAGACCTCTACCACGCGACCATGCACCACGAACAGATCACGGCCGCCACGTTGGATGAATTTAACAAGGTGTTTGCAAGTTCGCAATTAAAATTTCATGCAACATGGCGAAAATCTCTTGGTTGTTTGAAGCCTGCGATTAGTTGCACACCACAATAAGCTGATATGTTCAACTTTGAAATGTCAGTTTGGATGTTGATGAAAGCCGTCATAATAAGAGGCAATTCCGCAATTATCATTGACGCCATATATTTATATACAGCAATATAAACAAAACTTACTGAACTTCAGACATCATTTTGTCTTTGGCGTACCATCTAAAATCTCTTCATTTTAGCATAATTGTACAGATAGAGCACTAAACATACTTTTTAAGTTTGTTTGCCGCTTGAATTTTGTCATGACCAAGTGGAAATGTATTATTCATTAGTTTTGAGCGCGTGTTACGTAACATACAAAATATTCATTTCTCCTCTTAAACGAATCATGACGGTTAACCGGGCCAGCCCGGCTCCATACATGAATAGCTCCATATATGAATAGCTAAACAGATAAAAAGTCTGGAAACTGTAGTTGATCTATTTTATGATTATATAGCTTAGATTGATTCCAGTATCAGTGTAAAGTACATTCAAACGAGCTTTTATGGTTAAGAAATGTTCGTGATGTGCACGATTCATCTCGGCTGGCCCGGTTACATGAACAACATAGGAGGGTAGGATTTCCTTACTGAATTCACTGATGCAATGTATCATTGTGTTTCCCTATTTACTTATTTAGGTAAAAGAAATCAGCCAGTCAACAGAACGTAACGAAATATTTTTTGATCGAAACCATAACTCTAAGAGTCCAGCGCAGGTAAACTCTATAACATTGATACAGTTCACTTTATTTAGCAGTTATTCGCCGAAGGCGAGGTGATTATCGGTGAATAAAAACCGAGACGAAGTCGAGGTTTTTCACGATAATCATCGAGCCTGCATGAGGTGCATAATTGTTTTAGTATAATTTCTTAGGTGATTATTTGGAAAAAAAAAATAAAAAATACACATTTCTTCGTCATTTAATTGACAAAATCGCTTAGGTGATTGTCGCGTTATAATCACCTCAACGGCAACCAATCAGCGTGGAGAATTTTCAATAATCACCTATATAATTATACAAATGTAGATTAATCTCTGACATTGCAAACCTTCCCAATTGTTCCCAGGATTTAAAGTAGACTACTCCGTTACGTAGAACCAGTGAATAGTGATATATACTGTAGGCCACTGATTGCATGCCATATCACGAATACTGATAATCAAGTGTCAAATTAGAAAAAAGACTTGAAAGGTTGAATGTCGAAATTGTGCTGGTCATAATATAACTATATTCTATAACAAATTGTATGACTTATAATGAATTGCAAAAGTTAGGACCATGATAATTATAATTTACATTAAACTGTCCATTCTTATAGTTTTCCAAAATCCAATATAACATTGGCCACTGTATACAGTATACTAACAATAGACTGTACTGTTTATTGCATTATATCCCCAATGGCCTCGTTTTCATGTGGTTATTTCCTCATGTTTCGTCACAATAAGGTCAAGCTTGCCGCACACGAAAGAAACTTGCTGAGCTGACCGCCTCACGTGGCGGCTATAGCTCAGCTATGCATTTTCACCGCACACGTTGGCCGCTACTCAACAGTAGTCAACAGCAACATCGTTGATAAAATCGTTTGCATTTCCCTCCATTATCGCGATTTTGACCAAAATCATGTGAAGAAACTATGGATTCTCATTGGCTAGTTAATTCGCGCAGCTCAGCACTAAGCTTGCAACATCCACAGACGTTGAAATTTTTCCCTCACGAGGTGAAAAATATCAAACACGATAGATATTTTCCTCAAGTCCTCGAGAGGTGAAATCCTCACGAAAACTATCCGCACACGAGAGTAACATGCTGAGCTAGCTGCCACGCGAGGCGGTTAGCTCAGCATGTTCCTTTCGTATGCGGAAGGCTTTAACGATATAGGCCTGCGATTGGGATCAAGATCAAAGAGAAACATATTCGTGCACGAAACATGCGGATATAACCTTCATGTACGCCTGCCATGCTAACCAGGCAAACATGGAAACGAGGTCATTGGGGCAAAAATGCAATAAACAGTAAAGTCTGTTGCTCAACCTTTTTCACTGCATTATATTGTTGGTACAAAATTTTATTTTTATTTTCCATAATTAATTCTTGGAATGTAGAATAACGAAGAAAGTGATATAGAAACAAAGTTTAAAGAAGGTCAATTTATTAAGGCATCTGAGTTACTGTCGGTAAGATGTCTGTTGTTTGTAGAAGTGAATAAAAATAACCAATCTATTAGCATTCCATGCAGCAACAAACTAGCATTCGACACAAACATTTAACATTTGTATGAGAAGATATCAGGTGTCATGTCTAGTATATATACATGTGAAGCTTGTTTTTGGTTGGAATTTTAACAGATTGCTAAAAACACATGCTTAAAACTGCTAAGAACACCTGCATATGTTACGTGTTTCTTCCATGTTCTACAATTGATAAACCTTGTTCACTGCATATTGTTGGAGTAAAATATTAACTTTTCTTCTCCGTGATCTCAGCATGTACAGAGTAACGACGAAAGTGATATAGAAACAAAGTTCAAACGAGGTGAATTTGTTAAAGCATCAGAGTTACTACAGGTAAGATGAGGACTGTTACTTTAGTCTTTGACTAATCTGAGAGCGTAACACACTACCTTACCCCCACGCAAGTTTGTCGTGTTCAGTTGCATGTATGTAAGACTTTGAGTAGAGGCCAGACCAAGGATTGAACCCAGGTCTCCCGGGCGGGGGGGGGGAGGAGGTCAAAAACATTTTCCGGATTCCAATTTTTTCATCGCAAACGTAACAAAAGCTATAAAATTGTTAAAAATGCGAACTATTTCATAACTTTGGGCAACTTCGACCATCTTTTATCACAAATTTTTACCAAATTTTTCCCAGTTTTACCTTCAATTTTAAGCAAATATCAGTTCCATTTTGACCAACTTTGGGCAAATATCACTTCCATTTTGACCAACTTTGACCAACGTTTGAATTATTGGGGGTGTTACACCCCCCCTCCTATAGCGACGTCCCTGCTTGAAAGGCAAGCGTGGTGACCACGACACCACAAGACACCACAATCAGTAACAGTACCAGGTTGCAACATAATAGTATCAAACATCTCAAACAACATTAGAGAGGTTCAGATTGAACGAGGTTGATTCTGACTTCGACTACCACTACCATTAACCAATCAGATGCATATATTCTATCCGATTAATTAACCAATCAGATGCGTATGAGTGGAAGTAGAAGTCAAATCTGAACCTATCTATTATCGTTACTGTATTGTACTTTTTAATATAGTAGTTTTAATAGCATATTTTAATGGTAGTGGCAGTACAGTTTACTCCTATCAGAAGCAATAATGGGGCTTCGGTGGCGAAGTGGTTAGCACACTTGCCTTTCACCTCTGAGGCCGCAGGTTCAAGCCTCAGTGAGAACCTTCTCAATGCGACTCGAACCCAGTCCTCATGTGAAAAGAGTAAAAGTCAACGCTCTGCCGAAAGTCGTGGGTTTTCTCCGGGTACTCCGGTTTCCTCCCACAGGGAAAGTTTGACAGGGTGGGGTGGGTTAGGGCCCACAGTAATTGGCATATGCTGTTGTGGTGACCCTGCCCTAGTTCGCAAATCTAAATAAATAAATAAAGTAATTAGCAGTATAAGTGGACATTTCAATAGTGGAACAATAGAGTCATTGCATGTCCAGAGTCCAGACTCTCCTCCACCAACGTGGAAAAGAGTGCAGAAAAAAAATTTATGCATGAAGATGACAAGTGTTTTTTCATTTGACTTAATTTGGATAGATTAAAGGAGAAAGCTTTGAATCAAACGAAGATACGAGACTAAAGGTGAGATGCTATAATTAGGAGGAACTTGTAATTTATTCCTCGATAACAACATCAGTTCGGTAAAAATAAAATACGTTAACAGTAGCAGTATACATGCAAACTAAACAAGAAATGTCAATTTTAAATTGACTCGCTTGCATCGATTGTATTTAGTCAAGAACAAGAGATCTTGGTAAGCTAAAATATGGTATTAACATTAATGCTACACATAGTTTCACATCATGCATTTATCATACACCCAACTGACCCAAGTGAATCAGCCTTGATCATGCAAATGAGGATGAAAGTTGATGAGAGTTGTCTGTCACGCATTGCTATACGGGGGAGCTCTAGATTAAGAGGAGATTTTTTTGTATGTTACGTAACACGCGCTCAAAACTATAATATATCACTGTGCGTATAATATATCACTTGAGGTCATGACTAAATTCAAAATTTTTATTTTTCAATACGTTTCTCAATCGGCAAACAAACTTAAAAAGTATGTTTAGTGCTTTATCTGTAAAATAATGCTAAAATGAAGAGATTTTAGATGATACGCCAAAGAGAAAATGATGTCTGAAGTTCAGTAAGTTTTGCTTATATGGCTGTAAATATGGCGTCAATTTTAAAGCATCATTGATAATTGTATTTTAATTGACAATTTTTAACTGTTATTTTATGTTTCTCAACCGGCAGATGCATTTAAAAAGGTAGCTAACTCTATAAACTAGAGAATAAAGCTAAAACGAAGTAATTTTGAGAGGAACGCCGAAAAGATTTTAGGTTTTGAACACTTTTCATTGCAAATATACGTGACATTGAAAAAAATAAAGATTTGATGAGTATTCCAACTATTTTCAACTTAAATAGAATACATGATCATGTTGGGAAAGCATCAAGAACAGCTGGCCAAGGTCGCGTGACTGCCAACTCTCATATATATACACTCTCACCTTTTGATCCGGGCATTACTGTACCTTGATTTTGTTTGTACAGGTTAAACACGAAGTTGATGATGCTCTGTCTTTGTCTTCACTGACTGAATTTACTAGATCATCAGAGATCCAGGTACTGTTCATTCTAATTTATCATGTGTTGTTTCGTTTTGGGAATTGGGAATTGGGAATTGGTAATGTATTATATAAGTATATAGAGATTTCCGTATTATAGTAATTAAGTGAAATGAAAGTGGTATCTTTATACGGCGGATGATTTTTTGCACGTGTGAAATCCGTCTGATTCGTGAGATGATTTCTCTCGCATGTAGAAGAAGAAGCTCTTAATTTGTTTGAGATTCTAGTAAGAAAGTGAAGAAATAGATGGTAAGAGATATTCGTTCAGTGATGTAGTGTCAGGCTTTAAAATATCGGTCGGTCACGGACATTGTCCGACCCATTCGTGAAATTGTCCGACGTAGAAAGGAAACCACCGGACATTCTGTCCGACCAAGGTGAAACTGAGGTTTATTGTTTGTCCGACCCGAGTGTATTGGTGTCCAACCGAACTGTAGCTTTGTCCGACGTAAATCAAAATGTACCCTAGCCCAGGACTAGAGGCTTGTATGCTAAATGGAAAATCAGAGTACTATTGTATAAAAGGTGAACTGGAAATGTTGTTTTAATTAACGTAGTCGAGCGTGGGGCGGCGAGCGAAATAGTGAAGTGGAAAACGGGCTTAAGTTGTCGAAGTCTTTTTTTAATACTGCTGTTCTGGAAAGCAAGTTAATTTTGGCTTGGAAATAAGTATGAAAGGAACAAATTATTTAATATCTTTACAACATTTACCATTTATTCATTTGTGTCATTCAGACTTATTTCCGAGTCAAAACTGAACTGAAGGTCATCGGACATATGTCCGACCCAAATTCAACGTCACCGGACATGTTGTCAGACGGCCTTGTAAAAGATATTTTAAGGCCTGAGTGTTGATATATGTGAGTCAGGGCTATATAATTATCTCTATATATACTCACTATATAATAAACACTTTATTTCATGGTTGCTTCTTTTGTATGATTGTTATTATTTACTCGTTGTGAAGGATGGACAATGATGCAACTTTCGTTAATAGAATACGCACTTCCATGAAATAATAGATTCTAAATAGAATACATGTTGGGAAGGCATTAAGAACAGCTAAATGTTATTTTTACTGTATTCAGTTCATCAGAGACAACGAGACCAGTAATAATGCTACGGGTGGGTCATTGTCCCGTGGGTTCTTGTTAATCAAAAATACCAACAGAAGAATTGGTGCATGCATTATGTAGATTATACTGGGAACCATCAGACAGGTAAACAGCTTTGCTTGTTTTTCTAATACAGGTTAAGCGGGAGACGAATCGTATTGACTTAACTTCGGAGGACGAGGTATACCACTGAACATTAAAATTCTCTTATTACTAATTACTGTACTAAACTCCCATCTTTACTGCGTAAATGCTAGTACTGTACTTTATCTTACTTCCCTATACTAGTTTATGTTGTTTAGTTTTTTTTAAACGGGGCGTCTTTTTTAAAACAGGATACACTTAAAAACACTAACGACATTGCAGGGATCACGGTAAGCTGGATATTTTATAAAATTATAAAAAAATGCTAACATGTATGTAGCCCAAATGCTGCGTTCCAGTCACGCGTTTTTGTACGTACGGAAAAGTTTAAATCTTTTTCAATTTAACACTAGTATGAATTACCTGTACAATTGCACATTACATCATTCACAAAACTATATAATACTTTCCTTTTATTTATTCAGTTATTTCATAAGTAACATTTAAAGATATTTCAACTTTTCCGTGCGTATACGCCCGTATGAAAAACGTGTGACTGGAACTGCAGCCTTAAGGAAGAAAAGGTATGTGCAGCCAAAACAGTGATTCGTATTCACTATTTCTGTGTAACTGAGATGTACATTGCAGGACTTTGATTAATATTTATGCAGGAACATTTGATGTAGCATCTGAACAGCTAGTTTGCTTATAGTACACTCTATATTAATAAATTTGGATGCTTTAGTTCTATAATATTTAATGGAGTGCTTTATGAAACGTCCAGGTTAAACAAGAAAATACTGATCTCGAAGAAGTTGCAGAGACCACGGTAAGAATATTAAATATATTTACTTTCATATATCAGCAGCATATTCCTAACATTATAAGTTATGATGACGTGTTTATGGCTGTCATGTTTCTATTTTTTATTGAAGTCGTTTTGTGAATCATCCAGGTTAAAGAAGAAAAGATTGATCCTGAAGAATTTGCACAGATCACAGTAAGAATTTTTAAACATTTACCATACCTATATACAAGCGCCATATTCCTAATTTTATAACATAATCATTATTAACTTCTTGTTAACCGAATGCGAGGTCCGTACAGAGAAATATCGGACCGAGGTCTTGTGCAGACCCACCCCGTAGAGCGAGGTTTGTATAAAAAGACCGAGGTCCGATATTTCTCTGTACATACCGACCAAGCGAGGTTAATAAAAACTTTATTATATGCATGGCATTTATAGGCATTTATATACTTGAAACAAACAAGATTGCATGATTTTAAATACATATTAGTAGCGTGGTACACATTTGGTAGAAGAAAACAAAAAGTACCAATGTATACCTTCTTTTTAATTCACTGAAAACCATTCGCAGGTATCTTATTAATAACACATTAAATTATAATTTTCAAACTTTCAATTAGTTTTGCTGTTTTGTTTTAAAACGCATGCGTTTGTTTTTTCCCGTAATGGACCGCCGGTCCATTACGGGAAAATAACGGACCGCTGAAAGTGTTTCTAAGCCAATCACAATCCGCCATTTCACCGGAAGTGATGCTTGCCATATACATTTTGTATTACAATCTCTGAAGTTGTTTATGAAACGTTCAGGTTAAACAAGAAAAGATAAATCGTGAAGAACCATCTGAGATTAAGGTAACACAACATTAATTCATGCATCCTGCAAGATATGTAACATTGGCAAAATTATGTGCGTTCGGAGCGCGTGTTATGACTTGAAATGACTCTCGTGTGAAATTGCAACCACACCCGTAATGAATAATACCTTTCCACCACTTGTATTCCATTTGTAGTCCACGATATTATATTTTTAGCATATGGCTATGCCGATAATTCTAAATATTGATGTAAATATTGATAATTCCTGTGATAATTCTAAGTAATGTTTGGATTTTGTCGGCGATATAAGATAAATTTAAGTAATGTAGCTATAAATTATATTGTATTTTTGTAGCTAAAACTACAATTTGACATGCAGAAGTCTGTTGTAATTTAATTATTTTTCGCGGTGAAAGATTTCGTCGTTAATCTTTCGCAAATGCAGGGTAATACCCTCATTTGATTTGTACGTTTTACGCAGTACTGACAAATAATATTATATTGCCTTCAGAGCCAATGTAAGAATGACACATAGTGACTCTTTGTTTGTTGCTGTTGGTGACTGGAAAGGGCTCTGACGTGTTGCCTAATTGGCCCTGTATCTTTATCTGCACGCATGATGTTGATTAAATTTCCTATAGAAAGCCGACTTTTGGTGGTGGTAAACGCAACCTGTAACCCTTTGCACATCTTATGGTAATTTGCTATTTGAAATATTATTTAGGTCGAACAGATTGAACAGGGAGCTGAAGACATGGATATAGATTGTATGGTAAGTAATGCCTGTTGCAGAACAGATACAATTTTTATGCCAGCAAGCATTTAGGGTAAAAAGTAGTGCGATTTAATCAGTTTGTGCCGAAAGTACAAACAATGAATGTTTATAAGTGCAATGGTAAAAACATTTTCATGAGGTGAAAGATGGAAGTTTTCATTCCACGAGGCGACAGTCGAGTGAAATGGAAAATCCCATCTTTTACCGAGGGCGTGCGAAAGTAAGATCCTGGGTACGAGGTTGGATCAATTTTATCGAATTTTTAAGTGAATTACTGTCGATGCAATAGAAGTGTTGATAAAATATTGCATCAATTCATTTCCTCAAGTTGATCAATTCATGCGAATTCAAATTTCGATTCTGAAACGAAATCTAATTGGCTTATCTAGAAGTAACAGGAAGTTGATCAATTTTCTATCAAATGAATTGATCAACTTGAGGAAAGGAATTGGTGCAATATTTTATCAACACTTCTATTGCATCGACAGTAAATACAAAACAAATACATACCTTGTTCAAAAATAATTAAAATCCAACAAAAAAGTGCAAGCAAATGTTTTAGTGAAGAATTAATATGATAATGGTGGTCATTTATCGTAAAAATTATCGTAAACGTTATCGTAAACATATTGCATTTTTACACCCGTATTTTTGCTATATAGTCTATTTCGAAACTTTTTTTATGCAAGATTTCGCAAGTTTGTACAGGTACGAATTGAAATTAATGTCAGAAATTGATATTAAAATTTGTCAGAAAGCGTAATGTTGTGCTCTCTTGAAACGTTAAAGTATGACATTAAAAGGAAATTACACTGTTCTCGATACTAAAAGGAAATTACACTTATTCGAAGACATAGTATTTTTGAATAAATGCAAAGGCGTATGTTTCCGAACAAACTAACACACTAAAAACTAACAGACTAACAAACCCACCTTACTCACGCAGCAAATACGAAGCGATGCCTAAATCGCACACGAGAGAAAGTTGCTGAGCTAACCGCCTCGTATGGCACGCGTGGGTTGGGGAAACTACTCAACAGTAACATCGTTGATATGATCGTTTGCATTTCCCTCCTTTGTTGCCATTTTGACCAAAGTCACGTGAAGAAACTATAGGTTCTCTTTGGCTAGTTATTCAAACAGCTCAGCACTAAGCTCGCAACATCCACAGACGTTGAGATTTTTTCCTCACGAGGTGAAAAATATCAAATACGATAGATATTTTCCTCAAGGCCTCGACAGGTTGAATCCTCACGAAAACTATCCGCACACGAGAGAAACATGCTGAGTTAGCCGCTACGCGAGGTAGTTAGCTCAGCAAGTTTCTCTCGTGTGCCGGCAGTCTTAACTTCGGTTGGGCTCTGCAATTCATCTTTTCATTTTCTGTGCAGGATGACGAAGCAGGACAGACGAACACTAGTGATACAGAGCCTGGAAGGGCAGGAGCTGAGACGGTGAGTCCTGAGTGTTCTGTACGTGCTTGTAGGTGAGAGAGATAACGGTAGAGATCGTGTATTTTATACAATATCCTATGTTCAGTAGCATTCCATTGTTTCTGGTGATAGTGAATTGCAGTTATTACAATCTCGATTCCAGAGCCTGCGATCCTCGGGAAGGAATCGAAGGCTCTGAGATAATCCGTTACCGGAAGCCAAGAATCCTGGCTAAGATTGAACTACGCATTCCATTTCAATGGCCAATCAGATTCCTCGCTGAAACGGATTATCCCAGAGCCTCTCGTTCCTTCCCGAGGATCGCAGGCTCGGGGAACTAGATTGCAGTTATTAGTCATCCTAGCTTAAAAGAATTATTGTGATGGTTTTTCATAATTTAAAACACCGCCTGACACCCTTCTTCCAATGTCAACTGAGTCGTGAATAAAATTTTATCATACTAATGCTTTCTTTCACAGACCGAGAGTTCTATGTCTGTTGTTACAATAAGTTGTTCGACCATAAAGCCTTTACAGGGGTAGGTTTTTTTTTATTTATTTGCAAATTATCACCCATGCAGTTCCTCATTAATACTTGATTTATTCCACTTGCACAATCCCTTTACCCATAACATTATACTGTCAGAGACACAGAAATAGAAATATAAGACTTATTTCTGTACCTGTGGCCTCAGTTATCATGGGAGAAACATCCCTCCTAATAACATTGTGCATATTTGTTTTTACTCGTAAGGTCACCAAGTGGAGATAGCCCCAAGGCATCAATATTACAAACTTTGAAACGGCCATCGATTAGTAAAGATGTTCAGAAGGTAATCTTTGGTAATTTCCTGCTATGAATATTCGTACAAAGGGTTCGTACAAAACTTGAATGTCCTTGAATTTGAAAACAAAAATTCAAGGCCTTGAATATCCTTGAATTTGTAAAGAAGTACTTGAGAGTCCTTAAATTCCTCTTGCTTCAGTTTTATTATGAATATTTTTTTTTCTGAAATTGTTTGACATTCGAAACGGACATTTTGCTAATGAATTGATTTTGCATGTTCATATCTGACAAAACTGTTTGAAATTCATTAGAGTTGCGTTTTGAACAATTCAACGTCACATATTTTACTGATTTCTAACTCCTTCTCTTCAGTATTTAGTTCTTGAATTTGCTGATACTCGGCTGAATGTCCTTAAAAAATCCTTGAAATTGACTCTTCCTGACATGTACGAACCCTGTAAGAATAACGTATACTGAGTATTGTTGTGTAATAAGGGAGTGTGGGGATGTTCCGATAAACCACCTCAGCCTAATCAACACAACTACATGTGGATTAGTTAACATGATAGAAATTAATGCAGAATAAATCTTGTAATAACGCTGTTCTCCTGTAAATACACAAGAATCCAAGCAAAATACAGGATACTCATCTATCGCACGGATAGTGAAAGCATAAGAGGTGTTTATTGGTTTTCATATAGATTATTGCAAAAAGAGAGAAACATCCACCCAAGTCAGAATACGACATACCAAGTCTTCCTCCATTACCTTCTCTGACGGATTCCTACAACAAAACTACATTTACGGCAAAGAAACCAGATTCCGTGCCTATTAAGGAAGTTAAACATGAACAACAAAGTATATCACCAATTCTGTCCCAAGGCTCATCAAATATTTCGCCAGGACTGCAGACAGGTGCTTCTATTAAGCAGGAATCGTCCAAAACTGTTCCCCAAGTAACTTCATCCGATATTCAACCAACGTTCTCTTCCGCCATTCAATCGTCAAGCTCCACTTCTCTTCGACCTGGTGGTACTTTGCCACAGACTGTTTCATTAGTAAATTCCGCCCGAGTAACCTATACTAATACTCAATCAGGACCGCCATACAGTATTAATTCAGTAAATGTTAGTAGCGTACAACCCGGTAGTAACACGCGAGATTTTTCTCCAGTGTTTTCACTTGGGACATCATCCAGTGTTGGTGCGCCAACCACATCTTTCCAAGGCGCTTTACGGACCAATACGTCAAATATTCAAACTAATTATTCATCAAGTGTATCATCCACATACTCCACAGGAATTCATCAAGGTTTTCAAACCGCGCATGCTCGATTCATACCACCACCGTATCCGGCATCATACCCACCAGGTGTTCAACCAACGCCGGGAATTCCGTCGGTACCTTTGGATCCAAGGCTATATCATGGGATAAGTCAACCCCAGAATGGATCTGTGATCACTCCATCTTCTATGTACTTCCAACACAACCATAGATTATCATTTCCAATGAATATTAATGGCACTATCACTCCTGGTATGCAAGTTCGGGTACCATTGTCTTCACAGGGTGGAATACCTGCGTCTAATACACAGTGTAATTTACATTCAACTTCTAATATTTCGAAAACATCTTCAAAAACTGAAACAGTAAAAAGTCATCTGCGTTCCACGGGGAGTAAAGTGGCGGAAAAATCGAAAACTAATAAAAAAGACTGCGCCGATATCATTGTGAGATACCTAACTCCGTATTATAGATCTGGAGAAGTGGAGTCAAAGGTAAAAATTGTTTACGCTAGGTTGAAATTAGGAAGAAGAGAAAGTGATGAGCATTTAAAAAATATTAAAATTGTTCTGTGTATTATTATTTGTGTATCAAAGTATCTTTAGAGAGAATAATAATGCACGCTTAGAAAGTGCAACAAGAATAGTACTTGTGATAGTGATACTGCGAGTGTAAACGTTATACATTTATTTAACCTAAGGAGCAGTTGCGATAAATGGGCTATTCCAATTTTTATCCGCACCTCCCCCCCCCCGCCCTGTTGAGGAACCTTGGAATTTCCAGGGGAGGGGGTACATTAACCTTGGAATTTCCATGGGAGGGTGCATTAACCCTGGAATTTCCAAGGGAGGGGGCATTCAGGCTCTGGAATTCCAAGGGGAAGAGTAATTCTCGCATGGAATTTCCAGAGGGAGGGGTAAATTTCATGGGATGGAAATTCCATGGGAGGACATATGTTAGAAGGAAATTTCTGGGAGTAAATGTCCCATGATGGAAATTCCATAGGGAGGGGTAATTTACACATGGAAATTCCATGGACAGGGCCTAATTTAAAATGGAAAGTCCATGGGGAAGGGTAATTTTTACAAGGACATTCCATGGGAAGGGGTAAATTTTACATGAAAATTCGCGGAAATTCCAGGGAGTACCGACGTGAGAAAGGGTTTCTCAACAGGGGGGGGTGCGGAAAATTTTTGGAATAGCCTAATGCAACTATAGACCCTCTGACAGGAATCCAACCTGCTCTTGGTCTAATAAATGTATAAAATTTACACTCGAAAGTTGCATCTACAAAAACCCATCAACAAATAGTTCTATCGAGTGAGATTGCCCAAAGTCCTATGATACTGCGTCTGTCCTCTGCAGCTTGTACCTGATCTGTATAGCCCAGACCTCTGCTTCATTTCTACCTGTGATTTTAAAGGTAATTGCGTGTAAGTTAAATGCTTGCAAGCTTGCCATTCATTATGTGTAAGAAGAGGATTACATCGTAAAGTGCAAAGAAGTTATTTCTATGGACATGCTCAGGCCATCCGAGGAAAAAATATCTATTGACTGGGTGTGTGCAGTAAGGAGAGAGTTGTCAATACTTGCATGTTTCTAATTATTAAACAGTGATTTATTATCGTTTAGTCACTATTCAAGACTCTTGCAAAAGAAATGACCGAGAGATTGGTCCAAACCATGGGAGGTGTTTCTAACGACAAATGTAAGTGTAGCAACAGTTGTCCACAGTACGTCTTATATAAAGCAGAATTTAAAATATCCACAAAACCTACTACAGTTGCATTAAAGTAATTTAACTTGACAAGAACTTGAATGACCCCATGTTTTATAAAATGCTTCATTTCTATGACTACGATTCTGAACTATTCTGTCGATCCTTCGCTCAAGACGTCGGAGGTTTATCCTTAATTGGGATATTTCTTAATCTTATACGTTTGTGATGTTACTGTGAGTGTATATCCACACCGGACAACCTTGAAAAATATGCCTGGCCACTGTCGGAATCGAACCTACGACCTTTGGAATACTAGCCCAATGCTCTGCCAACTGAGCTACGCGGTCAGGATCGGTTCGAGTATGTGATATTTCGGAACTGAGTCTAGTTCCTTCGATATCAATGCATTCTAGCATATGATTCTAGTAATCATGATTTTTTCTGTGTTGGTGTTATGTACTCAGGTGAATATGTTTGTGATGTTACTCTTGAGTGTATGCAAACTTGACCGCGTAGCTCAGTTGGCAGAGCATTGGGCTAGTATTCCAAAGGTCGTAGGTTCGATTCCCACCGTGACCAGGCATATTTTTCAAGCTTGTCCGGTGTAGATATACACTCAGAGTAACATCACAAACATCATATTCACCTTAGTACATAACACCAGCACAGAATCATTTCTTAATCTGCTGGGAGCCAACACCTTTGTATTTCAACACTGGGGCCTGCGTTCACATAGCATTCATGCAGTGCCACCCAGTACAGTACAGGACAGACTACAACGCAGTGCAGTACACTAAGGCCGCGTTTACACTATAACACTGCGGCTAACATTCCGTTAAAAATTTACAACGTTTCTAGTATTGAGACTATATTGTGTTTACACTATAACGGAGTGGTTTGCCGCAGCTTTACTAACTACGGGCCACTACATAACTACAGTTCTATTAACTACGGGCCACTCAATTTCGTTAAAAATTCACTACGCTTCTTGGTATTGTGTTTACACTATACTGCACTCCGGATTCAAATCACTACGCTACGGTAAATTTGCCATAGCGTCATAGTGTAAACCCGTAGCGTCGCAGCCTAAAGTAAAGTACAATGCACTATAGTACTACAAATACACATACTTTGATTTTTAGTGCGAAATACAGCACGATCTTTGGTGAAAGTGTATTTTGATGACAAGCGTCGAAAATCATCGAAAGCAAAGTAATGATGGGTCAGTCTGTGTGACAAGTGGAAAAGATGAGGAAGAGGTCAAGAGATGCATTAAGCTGGTGTTCTGCGAGTGGTTCAACTTCACGAGGCTGCTGTAAAAGGTGGTCGTGAGGTCTGAGAAAAGAATATCTCGACAAGAGATTATGAAAAACGTGTGAAAAATAACGCACAAGAATCTTAATTGCGTTCTGTTCCTTTAAATTATGTTCGAAATTGGTGTGCTTAGAAAAGAATGAACAAAATCTATCCCACCTGAGGGTATATTGGATTGAAGCTTTTGTGGTGTTGATCATGCATGCATATATATACAATCTTTGCCAATATTCATTGGGACAATCCAGTTTATACATGCATTCAGATGTATTTTACCATTTTTTTAAAAATACATTTACCCCTCACTCCCTCCTCCCCCACCTGTTTCATTGTTGCCGTCTGGCGAGCAGACGCTGGTTGTTTGTGGGTCATCATTGAACGGGGGGGACTAGTCATTGAACGGGGGGACGAATAATGTAAATTAAAACAGTTACGGTATATGTCCCATCGTTTTTGGCAAAGATTGTAGCTAAAACCGTTGACTATTTCAAATTTGATTGGTGTTAAAAACGCTATAAAACAGATACGTCACTATTATGATACATTACTGAATAAAATATTTCCCTAACGTTTTACGTCAATTACGTGTTTGGAACCATTTGGCTGGTTAGAGTGATATCGTTTTTGTGAACTTTTGGTAAATTTTTGCTCCTTCTGTAACAGTTTAAACCATTTTATTTTTCATTTTGCGACCTTTGATCAGTGTACTTGTTCGACAGTGGTCTCACAATTCATTCCTCACAACTGAGCTGTGTGGTTTTCTTTATCTCGGATCCAGAACAAGTTCTAAGAATTTTAAATCCAAAATACGTACGTTCTATGATTTCCCGGAATTCAGCTCTTAACGCTATTTTCCATTTCTCCGGATCTTAAAGGCTGTTTTCCACTATACTAGGCGAAATTTTTCGACCGAATCGAAATTTTCTTTTGTCTTACAAGCACTCAGATGGAACTAATCAGAAATCTTTTGAATTTGAACAATAGAAATTTCGGTTCGATCGAAAAATTTCGCCTAGTGGAAAACCGCCTTAAGGCTCATTTCCACTCAAGAAAAATTTCCACGGACAGAAAATGTTCCGAAAATATTATTGTTAGGGGTTGAAAATTTGTTTTCCGACGGAAAATGTGTGTCGGCCAATCATATTTTTCTGCGGAAAATGTTCCTGAGTGGAAATGGGCCTTTAGACGAGTACATGTAGCCATGCATGGAAAACGGTCAAATTCTTAATTTTGTATATGTAATAATTATATTAACTAATTACCACTAAATTAGTAAGCTCTAATAAATTCTACACTGAAGTTTTCATATATCATTTCAATGGTTCAAACTTTTTCAAAAATGAAACAAACAACTGCCTTTGCTCTATACGGGGCTGTTCATCCGGGCCAGCCTGGATGAATCATATGGCACGAAATTTTTCCTGACCATAAAAGTCGTTTTAATGAACTTTCAAACATCATTAATAATTCATAAGCTTATTGGCAAATCATGTCAACCATAATATGTCACGTGCAGTGGCTTTAAACCTGATAAAACACTCCTAATTAGTATTCTTTATATAATACTAATAAGGCAGTATCTTTTATACAAAGAATACTAATAAGGCAGTAAATCTATTGAATTTGTAGTCGTGTTTAAAGCCGTTTAATAAACTCACAGGTCGTGTTTTATTAGGTCTAAAGCCATTCGCGCTGCGCGCTCGTGGCTTTAAACCTAATAAAACACTCCTGCTCGTTTATTAAACAGTACTTATACCACTACCGGAATCAGATTAAGCTAATTCAACTTTGATATGTCATTTTGGATGCTTATGAAACCCATGATAAGAGCTTTCTTAAACGAATGATCACGGTTAAACGGGCCAGCCCGGCTCTATATGAACAGCCCCTAAGAACGGTTTACACTAGCCTGCATGGCAGGCGGTTCCTAAAATTGGGCAAGCCTGGGAATAGACCGCCTGCCATGCAGGCTAGGTTTACACTTGCGATTTTCTTCCTTTGGTGGATGAGTTATAAATGTTCAGGTGAGGGTACATGTTCAGGTGAGGGTAAATGTTCAGGTGAGGGTACATGTTCAGTGAGGGTACATGTTCAGGTGAGGGTACATGTTCAGGTGAGGGTACATGTTCAGGTGAGGGTACATGTTCAGGTGAGGGTAAATGTTCAGGTGAGGGTACATGTGCTCAGAAAACTCGTCACTCATCTACCCGTTCACACGCATCAAAAGAAAATCGCACTAGAAATCGCGAAACACCAATTCAAGTGTAAACAGGGCTTAATAGGTATAGCTTCCATGCACTCTAAGCCTTACTTATTAGAGAGGTTAAGATTGACGTTTACGGCACACGATGCCAGTGGTCTTCCCAAGTGTGATAGCAAAGCACATGGTGGACAGTTGTAATAGTGAAGACAGTATCGTGAGTGAGTTTTCCATCATTTCACTTTTAGGTTAATGTATATAATAATTATCAGCAATTTCATGCAGACGTGCAACCCACGAACCAGGCTTTATAATAGTGTCAAAACAGGCTGCGGATGCCCAGTTCTAGAAATTGAGCGAGACATTCATTGGAACAGACTGCCATGAATGTGCCCCCATGGTGCTTTGCGAGCTTACTAATCCGACATATTGGAGTCTTCATCATCCATGGCTATTTCTTCTTCCTTAAAATTATTAACTGCTGCCTGAAAAAGAAAGCATAAGTAGAAAAACATTGCGATATATACAACTGAAAATAACATATAGTCCCATCGGAAGTTGGTATCAAGCCAGACATTCCAGGATGATAAAATGGGAGCGACAGACACTCGTCAAAGGGCAACTTCATTGATATACTAGCCTGCGTAGCAGTCGCTTTAATTTATTGAAAGTTTTGAGGATTTTTGAATAAATGGCGGGTTAGCCACATTTTTCTAACTCGCCATTTATTCAAAAATCCTCAAAAACTTCAATAAAATAAATGCTCTCTTCACAACTGCCAAGCTTCACACTGCCCAAATAAATGAGATGGATGGGGGATAATTTAGCGGCCGTTTGTATGAGATGAGCTAACCTAGCTAACTAATTTCTTCGATGTCTTACAAGACTTTCCTGAAATAAGGTTGACAGAAATATTCTGTTAAGATTGGGTGTAAAATATCAAAATCTTATCTTGTCGCAAAGGAAATATTTTCGTGACCTAAATTAGCGCGGATAGTCAAGCTAGTTCGCCTCATGTAAACAGTCACTTGTCATTTCATCATACATTAATCCTGCACCTTTCTAGCACACGGTCACTGTGAAGTATACATGTCTTGATGCCTATAAATATCTCGAATATTTAAAATCGAAAGAGCACCTCCGCCGCCACCCCTGCCCTCCAATTGCCTTTTCTGCAACCAGTCAGACAAGCATTGTTAAGGAAGGGATAACTGATTCTTACGAAAACATCGTGGCAAGTGATTTAATATTAACGAGCTAAGATTAACAATACCTTGAACTTTTCTTGCACGTGATCACAAAGATCAGACAAATCCGACAGACCTTTCCGTAACGCATCAACAGCAAGGATACCTAAAAGAAACAATTTCACAATGGCAAGGTGCTCTAACAAGTCTTTACAGGTATAGCTTTAGTTTTGGTTCAGAAACTTAGTGTTTGTTTACATTACACCAAGATATAAAATCATAACGGATGACGATCGATACCAGTAGTTTATTAGACAGAGTAGGGTGGAGGTTTACGCTTTCTTTTGGCCTGTTATGCATGGGAGCATTTTGGCTAATCAGTGCTGGGAAGTTCAAATTTTCCAGGGGGGCCCGTGGTATAAAAACGACCCAGGGATATAAAATTTAGGTAGCTGAGTGATAGCAAGGCAAGCATGCAGCAAGCTGGTTGCTGCGTGGAGATGTTGTAATGTAAAGGTTTAAATTTGTACCCACAAATTAAATTTAAAATGATCTGTCAGAAACTTACCATTCGTCTGAATCCTCATATTAATTTTATGTTCTGATGGATGAGGTATAGTATATCCACAAAAACCAACGTCAGGACTAAAATAGATTAATAATTGATTAATTGCAATATTACCTGCTCTCACGACCAGATTTGACATCTATATAACTAACAGTGTACAAGCATAGTTATCACAAATTACTTCCACACAGCTTTGTAATATTTCTATCTTTAACTATAGTAATTTAGATCATCTTATGATGCCTGGATGGGAAAAGAACTTATTGCATGGTCTGGATTTCGAAACTAACTATAATTTCACTTCTACACGTTGTCAGTCAGATATACATAACATGTTAAGAAACAATGCTTCGAAGTCTTCTGAAAAACACATGTGATGCAAGTGGCGAGTGTGTTGCAACTGATTATTACTGTGTACCCTCAAAATATATAAATCTCTCCCACAAGACAACAACCACATTGTGGGCACACATATGCATTGGCACAAGCTTAATAAACGATCTTGGTGTTTTCGTATCGTTGAAAATGATTTGGGTAGGTTAGATCAGGGTCACCGAGAGGTTGCGCGGGGTAAAACGTTCCCAGGGGGGCCCTATATGACGTCGTAATTGTACAACGGGAGAAGCGGTGTTTTACAATATATATTATAATATAGCATTTGTAAATTCTGAACGCTGATTGGCTATGAGCCGTGTTGATATAACTCAATGTCAACACGGAAACGTCGGAAAATTTCTTTCTTTATGTTTCTTTGTGCTATATTATAAAACAAATATATTGATATAATAAAAAGTAATTCGGCAATCGGCAAACACTTTAGACTCAGAGATTTCTAGTTCCTTCAATATTATACATTTTTACTGTTTGACAGATGTTTCTACAAGTATAAACAGGACGACTTTTTCAAGGACTTTCAAGGCCATGTTACATGTATCAGGAAATTTGATTTAAGGACTAAAGGGCTGAAAAGGCGGCATTTAAAATCAATAAAAAGTGACGCTATACATTGTCCAAATCACAAATGTGATGAATATCAAACTGTTTTGTAAGACATGAACAAAGTCAATTTAACAAAGGACAGTTTCAGAAAATATCCAAAAACAAAAGCAAGAAGAATTTAAGGACATCCACGTGCTTCTGTATAAGTTCAAGAACTTTCAAGATCTTGAATTTTTGTTTCCAAATTCATCAGAAAATATCCAAAAACTAAAGCAAGAAGAATTTAAGGACATGCAAGTGCTTCTGTATAAATTCAAGAACTTTCAAGATCTTGAATTTTTGTTTTCAAATTCATGGACTTTCACATTTTGTACAAATTACCCTGTATAAAGGCATAGAACCACCGACATGATTTTGATATTGAGAAATACAAGCTGTGTTAAATTGGTGATCACATTAAATATATAGTATGCTGTAGCCTATAGGCTATTCTGACAACAACTGTGACATTACTTTCTTTCATATAAATTTCTTAACCATAACAGTATAATTTCACATACTTTCTTGCAATTAAATAACGAAGTGAGTTTCCTAAGGTATGATCTTCTTCATGTAAAACAAATGTCAGGCATGTTTCATCATCTTCAGCTCCAGAGGTGGGAATCTTTCAGGAAGCCAAACAAATATTTAAATAATCAAGTTAAATGGAAGCATAGGTTCAATTAAAGCATACAAAACTATGACAGCATTGGCAGTTGCAAAATTGGTCCAGTGACCGAGGTAAAAATTATGGAGTTAATAGCAGCAGAGATTCAAATTTTAGTCCAGTGATTCCATAGATTTCTGTGAAGTAATTTTTACAAATTTGGAGCTATATAGGAGACACTACTGGCTTCGTAACGAAATACCTACAATCGAAACATTGAAGTGTTTTTAATCTTTTTCATATAGTTTGGCCTGTATGGAATGTCACTTTTTTGTGCACCACACATTTGACAAAATGTGCACCAAATAGGCACATGTGCCGTGCACATCACATTCATTCCATACTGGTAGTTTGGTACCCTGGATTCCAGAGCCTTCGACAGTAAATAATAAATTGAAATGTCGCGAAGGCTCTGGTTCAACGGGGCGATTCTTTGATTAAGCCGCGCC